TTACCGGCCAATATCAATACTCAATGTGTTAAGTAAATTGCTAGAAAGAATCGTTCATATTCACATATTACCTTCAATACCCCCTGAACAACATGGCTTTGTGAAAGGGCGCTCTACAGCAACTAACTTGGGCACATTTATTGATTATACTACCACAAATATGGATGGAGGGTCGCAAGTAGATGTCATTACACTGACTTTGAGAAATTTGATCGCGTAGATCACATCATATTACTACGTAAGCTTTATGAGCTGGGCATACGGGGTAACCTCTTAAGGTGGATGGAATCATATCTGTGGAAACGATCTCAGGCAGTGGTCTTAGGAGGGTTCCGTTCTGACTTCGTGAAAATAACATCCGGAGTTCCACAAGGTTCCATTTTGGGTCCTCTACTGTACATGTGCTATCTATATGATGTGGGTAGGTGTTTTCATAATGCTAAGTTTCTAATGTACGCTGATGACACTAAAATATATATGAAAATCACTGATCATGTAGACTGCATGAAACTTCAAGATGATCTTGTGCGACTTGGTAACTATTATGCAGTAAATCGTATAGGAGTTAATGTCAGCAAGTGTCTCTACGTTTCTTTCACAAGGAAAAGAGAACCTAAAAATTTCAACTACCAAATAAATCAGCTTAATATAACTAAGAAAGAATTAGTGAGGAATCTGGGGATATTACTGGATTGCAAGTTAAGCTTCTCAGAACATATTGAAACAATTACGCACTCGGCCTACAAAAGCCTTGCCTTCATCCTACGCGTAAGCAGACCCTTTACTGATATTAACTGTATTAAATTACTTTACTTTTCATATGTTAGAAGCGTCCTTGAATATTGTAGTACTGTATGGAACCCGCATTACACTGTTCATATAAATAACTTAAAACAAATTCAGCACAAATTCATGAGACATTTAAACGATAGAAATTTCATTTATACTAATAACTATGAAGAGTCTTGTAGACATTTCAATTTAATAAGCCTTGAGAATAGACGCACTCTAATGGACATGGCATTTTTGCATGGTTTATGTAATGGAAGTATTGACTGTGTAACTTTAGCTGATAGAGTTCTCTGCTTTTGTACTCCGAAACGTAGAACCAGACATACACCTTTGTTTGCGGTTGTTAAGACAAAGACAAATTATGCACAAAACTCTCTGGCGAATCGTTTACAAAAAGTTTATAATAAAAGATTCCACTCAGTTGATATTTTCCATTTCAGTAGGGATAAGTTTAAAAAGGATGTCTTGAAACTTATGACGTAGTGAGGTCAACTAACTCATTAACGGGCGCACGCACGCACGCACGCACGCACATGCACACGCACACGCACACGCACACGCACACGCACACGCGCACGCACACGCACACGCACACACATGCCCGCGTGCGAGGGAAGCGCATACGAGCATTATGTATGTTGAAAATCTTTTAATTTTCTTGTAATTGTTTTATAGCTGTTTAAAAATATGTATTTTAGTCCCAACTACTTTGTCTTCAACATGTCCGTTATAAATTGAAAATACTATTTAAATAATGTAAATCCGGTTTTGGCTATAATTTAAGATCATAAAATGTACGTACGATGTAACAAGCTGTGGATTTTGTTTGAAATAAAATAAATAATAAAAAAAATTTAAAATGCAAAAACTAATGCTTTTGTAATTTATAACAGAGTAACAACTGTTGACTAAATAAACTCGCTGAAACGCTAATAGTGCTGTCGTAGACAGCAATATTATCCACTCATAATTCCAATCTCTATATTCTATTATTTACATCTGAGTCGCAGTCTAGCTGTAGCCACTTATTAGAACAGTCGGTGCCCAAACAGCCAGTATTCATTCACGCCCCCCGGATCACAGACAAACTTCCAAGTGCCATCGAATTCCGTGTTTTGTTTAGATAGTTCAAATTTAACTTATGCAAGTACTTATAATTCATCCAGATAATTGCATTTGGTCCTTTGTTGTGATGAAATGTTGTCTCAAAGTGGAAATTAACAGGCATAATTTATGAAATAAAACAAAAAGCCCGTGTAAATTGAAAATACTAACTATACTTCAATTGGGCGTATTATTTTCGGCGGGCGCTATATTGAAATAATATGTCACTCGTACAACTAAATCAAATCTCTAATGACCACGTGTATGTTAAAATTCGTCAAAAAGTTAAGGTCGGCTGTTTACACTCGTAACAAATAAATCTCCTTTGGCAGTTGGAAAATATAATATAACTGCGATATCGCTGAGTTCTTATAAAAGTAAAAAATATAAATAAATAAAATATAGATTTATCGACTATTTGAAATCAGGTGATGTCAGGGGAACAACTTGTTCTTTTTCTGCCTCCTTCAAAAGTAAAATCTCAATGATTACTGCTAACTTTAACTTTAGGTAACTGGCCGTTTATATATCTCTAATACGAATTTATTTATATAAGAAAAGTGTGTAAAATTATATAGCCGTAGCCCATTGTCCAGGCGTTCGCTTTTAATTCAATGTACTCGAGAAAACTGAGTTCCATCGACGGTGCTGGCACCAATGACATTGTTTATTTTAAGTGCTGACTTATCACGTGTTCAGTGGTAAAGGAAACCAGCGTATATTCGAAATAACACCAAAAAAAATATTTCAAAGATTTGTCAAGACCGCTAATCCGCAGTGGGGTCACGGGGTAGACTATGCCCTAATACCCCCTGTATACAGGGGGCCTTTGCCCAGCAGTAGGACATTTATAGGCTCCTACTGTACTTTTACTTTCCTCTGTTTTTAATATTTTACAAAAACAAAAATATTACGACTATATATTGCTTACGCTTAGCTAATTTTCTTTTTGTTTATCCTAATATCTTAATCGCAACGGCAAACGATAAACGACTTTTTAAACAGTAGTAACTTTAATTGTGATTTTCAAAGGAAACAGAAAATTCAGTTTATATTTTAGTAGAACAAGCAAACAATAGCTCACTGACAAGGCTTTAACCATTCGCTATCATTTTTAAGATTTATTCACGAAAATCCCTTTCATGGTATTAAATTAAATACTTCTATTGATAAGGTTTCTGACCAAACTTTTGTTTGAATTGTTTACATTAAACTTTTGAGTTCTGTTAATTCCATAATTAATTATTTTCAGTCGTAATTTAAAAAAGATGTAAAAGAAAAAAAAGGACAAGTTAATAATGTATGTAATACATTTTCAGATTTCACTGTATTGCCTGCCAGACCATTTTAGACTTCTAAAAGTGGTTTGAATTAGTATGTTTATGTATATTTTTTATCTACAATTATTAAATGATATTATTTTAAGGCATTGTTACTATTAATGCTATTATTGTTGCATATTATTATTATTGCCTATATGGTCAAGGGTCCCAAAGGTCCGAATGTTGTACAGGATGTGATACGTTGGTAATTTAAGTTTAAAATAATAGAAATAAGAGAACAGAAATATCTTAATATGCTATATGCTGCAAATATCATACATTACATTCAATACCATTAATCTAATATTTATTCATGTTGTATCGCATCTACGATATGTACAATTGCAAATGCATTCGCATGTTTCCGATTCGTAAGTATCTAAATAATTCAATAGTACACGAGATCGCCTTTCTATGAGCAAATAGATAGCCTTCACTTCCGACACATGTTTCCTTATGTGTAGCGACACAAGGAGCTGGTCACGTAGAATATTGACATCCCCAGCCATACACTTGCCGGTCACAATTCGTGTATTTTTAGCTAAGAGGTTCTATATTTTCCGAACGATTCACCCAACTTAGGCCCTTATACAATTAGAACATTCAATTATCCGTATGCCGCGTATAAAAGTTTAAAAATTTCTTGCTTTATTCTTTTTCAAATAATCCAATCAATTAAATACCCACTGAGCAGTATAGAACCACTCTTGGACGCCAATTGAAATTTACTTTGTTTATTATTTCTCGTAAGTTTAGCGAAACGGACTTGTTCAACTTATTTTAAACTTTTTTTTTGCCCACGGTAATTTGTATGATCGAGAAGTTCTTAAACCAGTGTAAAGGTAAAATCCACGTGTATATATTATTTACCTGTGTACATTATTGTAGCCGTGATAGCTCATTGGCCGGGCACTCGCTTTTCATTCCATAGACTCGAGCAACCCGAGTTCGATCCTTGGTACCAATACCAATGAAATTTATAATTTTAAGTGCTGACTTATCACGTGCTCAATGGTGAAAGAAAACATAGTGAGGAAACGTGCATATGTTGGGCCGCGTGTAGGACTATGCCCCAATACCCTCTGCACAGAGGCTTTTGCCCAGCAGTGGGATATATACAGGCTGTTAGAGAATATATAAAATTCAATTTGATATAATTATAATATTCGTTTAAATTTTATTGCACGATCGGTGCTTCGAATACCAGAGTATTTACATAGGTACTATATTTTTACAAATGACTTTTGACATTAACGGAAATCAGATTTTTTCAAAACCTGAAACATTAATTTGAAAATTCCTTTAAAATAAACATGACCAGGAAATATTTTTAAATTTATATATGTGTGCATAAATTATTACTTTCAATGGTAGTATTAATGAGACAGAAAATTTATCTAGTAATCGCCTTTAAGCTGCTGTAATGGCGAAACACTGGAATTACTCTGTACTGGAATAACAATAAATTGTTAAATCAGCGATACGATAGTAACACAATCGAGCTCATTCCGATTTAAATATAAAGTACTCATGTTAAATACTCAATTTACGTAATTGCACTGATAACATCGATTAATATAGCCGTTTTTCGTATTATTTTATTCTGATTATTTTCCCCTTCAGTTAATTGGTGCACGAGTTCACAGCGCTCATTCCATGTTTGCGCATTTTTAACTGTATAATGTTCATACAACTCGAAAATGCAAATGAAAATCCTCCATCGCTTTGTTCACTCGTTCGTTCTTCCTGATTTTTTTTTGTTGTTTCGGTAAATTAAGGAAAATGCATGAAATATACTTCAAATTGGGTACGGTTCAAAACTGGAACAAGGCGCCAAGAAAGTTTCTATTAATTTTATCAGGTTTGCCAGTCTTGAACTGATAAAATATAATGAGTTTTTTAAACAATCGAACTGAATGGCAATAGACTTGTAATCCTTCATTTTAAGTCGTTTTTAACTAAACTTACATGTACTTGGTATTTAACTAAAACGTGGTCAACTAAGCGGGATGTTTAAAAATAAATCAATACACTTATTAATAACTTTTTTTTATTTTTCAAACCTAATCACACCTAACCTATAGCAAAAAACGATCTTTTTTCATGTATTGTCAAGAATATCTATAAAAGCTTATATGCATCTAGCATCTATATACTGTCGAATCGAAATCCTTGTGAGCTTTTTGATAGTTCGTCAATAGCCCGATATATAGATAATATAAGGCGAAATGATCAGCCAAAGATTTAATTCATTCGGCCATTTGCATCAATAAAGTTAACTGATCCAATTTCAGAAATGACACAATTTATTCATTGCAAATGTTTCTCTAAATTTAATCCCACAACCAATTTTAACCAACAACAAAATTTTCGACGCAAACGTGTATTCGAAAACTTAATAAGAATTCAGCCGAAAATTGCAAAAATAGCACAATTGATTTATTACATCGACATTTGTAATGGATTTAACGTTCTTACTATATAATGTTTTTTGTTCAGCCCTAGGTCTGGAGCCGGACTTCTTGTTCCCTCTGGAGAACGTGACGATCGCGCAGGGCAGAGACGCGATGTTCACATGCGTGGTCAATAACCTTGGCGGTTACAGGGTGAGTGGCGACTCCGCCACTGCCAGGGTGTGTATCAAACCAACTCAATACAGCTAGCCGACTGAATAGTGACGCACCGTCAAGAGCACCAGTGGACTGAGGTCTGTCAATGTGAACGTTATATGGCGGGTTATTCGAAATGTAAACGATGTATGGTTTAATCCGTTACACCCCCCCCCCCCTCACCCTCTTATTAATATTATTACTCAAAACATTAACAAGAAAAAAGTAATTGCGTTTGTCGTAGCTTTGTTCAAGTAAATTATTACTTTAAACACTTAAAGATACTTTCGTTTCTATATTATTATATTGTAAAACAATAAAGATAGCCAGAAAATTGAAGATACTGGAACAGTAACACTCAGAATTCATCTTTGTCGGGATTAAACCTGATTCTGTACATCAAGTTTACGTATGTAGCCTTGCTTAATCGGACAATTTAAATTGTCTTGCTCTCCAACAGGAGTATATAATTAATTCAGTGGAAATATTATGATAATAATAATTTTACATTATATTTATAACGAAAAATAAAAAAATAATATGGAATGCGCTGGCTACGTCACATTATAGACCTCAACCAATAGTCCTTTGCACCGACTTCTACACTCCCTCCTTGCACATTCTTTAGCACACAGTCTTCTGTGCACCTCTTGAGCACTCTTCTGACTCACAACTTTCTAGAAACTATCTCTATCTAGCATAGAGTGTAAATACAATAAAATTGCACAATCGCAAGTTTGTACTCAATAGATGTAGTAATAGTTCACTGCAAGAGCGTCATAATGCACACAATCACTTTTGCACATAGATTTGTAAGTTCAAAGTTGATTTTATTTAATGTAACAATTCTATTCTATTTTATCCAAAATAAATTTAAACCTCCACATGCTTAATTGCACAAAAATATCATATCGTTCTCACAATATTATCGATCTCACATATTAATCTTTTATTCATTATAAACCAAATTGGACATAATAAAGCATAAAATTCGTGCATTACATGTCAATCAAATGCAAAAAAAAACAATAAATGCTTTGTGACAAGCCAATTTCATTTATGCAAAGAAATGTTGCAAAGCAGTCACTTTACGAAATTAAAATAAAGCCCGGACAAACCCTCTTGGTCCCCATTCAATCATTTCAAGAGGTATTGCTCTCAAGCTGTCCCAACAGTTAAAGCACGGCGTAATATCGTTGAAATATTCGATAATTTATCGTATACGTATTAATTCTGTTAGTTATGAAAATCGTTCAAAATTCATTGATAAAAAATAAATCCTTTGAGTTGTCTAATAAATTAACTATAATTATTATTATTGTCAAGTACTCGGCAAATGAATACTAGAATGCCATATTTGCTCGTGTTATCGAAATAATTACTTTAACCTTAAACGTAATTAGTTACGTTATACACGGTAATGACTAATTTACGTTTATCAATGCCAATATAACGCTTTGAATGTCACAACGATAATCTTCCAATCGCAAATACAGAAAATCACCAGGCGTCATGTAAGATATAACAAGTTTATGCAAATCTTCTTAGCTCATAACACAAAATTTCCATATTATCGACGACCTATTTTAAAATATTTGTGACTTGTTAGCAGATCTTTTTATGAGGTAAAGTTAAACAGACGGAAAAAATTATTTAATCATCAAAACTCTTTACTTTACATACATATGTATATATATTATGTTTACTTTTCAATATGACCGGTAGAAAGCAATTACCCATTTTAGTGCTCCAAGGTATATTCAATTCTCTTGGGGTTTTCGGAATCCAGAACTCGTATTGACAACTTTAGTCTATCCAATCTAAAACAAAGTGCTGTTAAACATTACAATGAAAAATTTTATAGTTATATACTTGGAAAGGGAACTAAAATCTATGCCCCTAAATTTTGTTAAATTCACATTCTAACAAATAACACGTTTCAACTGAAGCAAATAACTTCGATATGCACCGCTGGTATGGATGAGTTGAAAATTGGTAAATATTATAATATTATGTTTATTGTACTATTTTTAAGTTTTGCATTTTCAATTGCGTTGCAGTTTCAATCTAAATAATAAGAAGAATTGGAATCCAAAATGACAAACTTTCTCGCAAGAAATTGCACCGCAGTTTCGTCACAACCCTTTATGAGAAATTACTTCATAAACATAAACGGTAAATAGAAGTGATTATCTTGAGGAAGGAATTATCGACTAAGGGGTTGTCAGGCTTCGTGATTGCAAAATGGAAGTATGCGTCCTTTACTGCGTATAATACTTTCATTTTGAGCCTAATTAACACGTTTTGTAGCAATAATTCTAGGCACCTGTAAGTCTCACAAAGTAGTTTTCGAAGCACAAGCACTCTTACTTTAAAGATAAGAAAGTGTTGTGTAGTCCTCTACTTTGCCTTTATAGCACAAACTTTTCTTGTAGCTCCAATTCTTGCACATTAGGTATTTTCATGCACCTAGTGTTGTGAATAACATTAAATAAACAATTGAAACCAAATTTATTCAATTAACCTATTGAAAGAATTTATATGGAATGATACTGTAAATTATTCATGCGGAGTGCCACGAAGTCCCCACAAGTAATGGTGGAATTTCTAAAACGTCATATTTTGTGGACATTCGTTGGTTTTTTTGTTGCTCACCGTGCAGGAAATTAGCTTCTATTGCGATGTCGACGCTTTTGGTAAGCGGGTGGAACGAAACGGGGGCATTTTCAGGGAGCACCCACAGTAAGGCTTACAGTGGCGACCAGACGAAAATGTAATTAAAAATTCCGAGAGCATTTTGCGAAGCGCTCGCAACAAGATAGTGTTGCTCGAGGACCGTTGTCGTGACTGCCTCTTGGGAAGTATCAGCTTGTAATTAGACTTGTTCACTCTAAAAGTCTTCATTACTTATAGCCTTTACAACTGCTTAGTTCCTGCCAACTGGAATTAACGAGGGCTTCACTCTGCTCATCTTAGTAGCGCGTCTAATTTCGTTAGTGACCCCGTGATACGTATACATATGAACGATATTTGCTTGCGTTCTCCGTGACAGGTAGCGTGGATCAAAGCGGACACAAAGGCCATTCTGGCGATACACGAACATGTTATCACTAACAATGCGAGGCTGAGCGTAACTCATAACGACTACAACACGTGGACACTCAACATAAGAGGAGTGAAGAGAGAGGACAGAGGACAATATATGTGCCAAGTGAACACAGATCCAATGAAAATGCAGGTAATTGTAGTGTACGAAAATTGTTTCCACATCTACATATTTTGTACCTTCATTTGTTTTCATCCATAACACGAGCTTGTGCATATCTTTTGCTTTCTGTATAATAGAAATATTAACATATTTGTTTCAAACAATCCGAATGAGTTGTTTTATCTATTAAGGACATGTAATAAATTAACAGTCCTCATTGAGATATATTGTTTTTGACTTGAGATGTTTATTACAGACGGCATTTCTGGAGGTGGTCATTCCACCTGATATTATTTATGAAGAAACTTCTGGAGACATGATGGTACCAGAAGGTGGTTCTGCAAAACTAGTATGCAAAGCTAGAGGCTACCCCCCACCGAAAATCCTGTGGCGCAGAGAAGACGGCGGTGATATAATCTCAAGGAATGGCCCGCAAGGAAAAACAAAAGGTGAGGATAAATTATTCATAATTGAATTTCTCATAGCGTAGCGCAACGAAATTTTAATCTTCATTCACGAAACAATTACAGTTCCAAATATCCATCCCGTAATTGGAAATAAAAACTGTAACAAATATTTCTGATGTATTATTAATCCCGGTATTTTTTTATAATTTTTTATTTAAATATTAAACGAGTAAAATAATTTTATATTAAGATAATTTTCGGTGAACGTTGATATTTTTCTGTTATATTAATGATATTTTTGTATAAAATAACTTGAAAGGAGATAGGCCAACGATTGTAATGTCGACTCTGAGTCACTACAGTTGTCTTTTGCTATAAATAAATACTTAGTATATCCTCTTGTCCTTCAGGATTCGTAGGCTTTAAAGTTTGTATTTTATTGTGCAAATTTCTTAGTATCCATAAGTAGAAAACTTGATATTGAGAGTATATAGGTCTTTATTAATAATTCCGCGTGTTTTCTTACAATAATTCATCGTTATTATTCCATATACCAAATTCTATTTATTTGGTTTAAAATTTAGATCGGTTTAACTTTGAGTTAGTCAAATATAATATCTCATGTTCGTCTGTGCTAATTTTGACATACACCTCAGGGTCAGGCACACAGGCTTTTCGCGGTGTTAAATAAATATGCAAAAGCTTGTCTTAGCTTTTTAACGTTTCATGGAAAATTAAACTCCGTATTTTAAATGCTTTAAAAAGTGAAAGTCGAGTAAATCGCGGCTTAAAATATTCACTATTGAATCGTAGCAGTAAATCAGACCGCAGCTTCTCGGGGAGCTCCTATTACCATTCACACCGCCCTTTCTAATCCCGCGGGATTACATTCTCTAGACAGTCCGGGAATAATTAATTATCTACTCATCTCTACCGGCCAAATAAAGGAAGTGTAAAGGCTTGTGGAATGAATCTTAATCGTTAAAAGCTTCTATCGAGAAACGTACGTCCTTTATTGCAGTCATGACTGTCTATGACCCATTATTTAACGAGACTCGATTCAGATATTTTTGCCTCGCTATTCATAAAACTAATTTTCTCTAAATAATTATAAAATTAATTTATCATTGCTAAACTTCAGCAGGTCTGTTTTGTAGTTAGAACTTACGTAAATAATTATACTAGTCGGAATATTGTGAATTCGTGTCGACTAGCAATTGGAAACAGCACTGACAGGGTGATTAATCGGCAGGTCCTACTTAACCCCACCAATGCTCAGACCTTCCTATGCCATCAGTCAATTCATTAAGCTAACAAAGTACCACCGGTAATGACTTTCACAACGTTCAGAGCTCTTCTATACAATCCGTTAAGACTGAAGTGTAGTTATTCATTACCTGCCCTATATTCGGCAGTCATATTATCCTAGTTCATTTAAAGTCATTAATCATTAGGAGCAACTTAAATAACTGATTTTATCAGGAAAATTAAATAATAAACTTTGCGAATATTTCGTTACTGAGGATCAAAGAAACTCGACCCTAACAAGTTTAAATTATGTGATGTCAGTAACAATCATCAATTTGAGTGAAGAAGTCTAATTAAAGAAGCCGTTACAAGTTACCTCCATAAATCTGAACAGGAAACAATACAGACTATCAATTACGTAAGGCAGTGTTTCTTCGGAATATTCCAATGAGGAAAGTTCGAGGGTTGTCCAATACGATGAATATAGTTTTTCAAGGACAGCGGGGTGCCCTCGTCTGTTATGTTAACTACCCATTTTAACAGTTTTCCTCCCAATAAATTTCTCATTCCGAAAGCAACTTTTTCTTATGTTTAAGAATGATAAAATGCTAAATAAAGAGCTATATATAAAAAATCTGCTGTTACTTATATCAAATCAAGGAAGTACAAAATATTTTCGAATTAAATATTATTGTAAGATAAGTAATAGATAATTTAATTGTAAGAAATATCCATTTTTATTAAATTCACTTACTTCACAGACTTCCCTTTTCCTTAAAGCAACCACTAGAATCTATAGTGCTTAAGTGTCACTTGGCTTATAACACATCGACAGGCCAAGTTTATTTAACAACCCACTTCGCTGACAGTTCAAAAACATATAGAGTAGCCAAGTTATAAATAGTTACTATTTTTAGTTACAATAGTTACCAATAAACCATTTTTACTGTTTGTGCTATTTCGTGAATTTCGGATATCGTGGAATGGTGTTTCTATGAAGTCAAACTGATCATTTTCGGTTGATCACCGAACTGTCCTTCATTAATGCCTATTTTACTTTATTTTCTTATTATTAAATTTGTCAAATGATGTAAACTAAAGTGTACACAATTCACATTCGTTTTCCGTGTTCTAAATGTTCTAAAATTTGTTTAATTTAAAATTTTCATATAAATAATGAACCATTAATACTCCATTGGGATCCTGTTCTGGCATTGTTTGCTAACGAAGCGTCGATCGTGCCTCGTTCGACCGAGAGCTCTACGCTTTAAACCATCCACTCCCTTCAGTTTCCTTGGAAAATATTGCCATAGCTTTTTATTCTCTTGTTTGAATAATGGCTGTAAACGTACTCTGGTGCCATTTCAGGAAGGTGTCAAGAAAACAGCTTGAGTTTGAACCACTAACGGTACTTGTTTATCAAAGCTTCGACTATTTCTGGCGTTCCAAAGTGTTTTCAAACACTCCTCCGCGAAATGTAAAGTAAGCACTACTGCTGACAGTGTGCGAACGCTTCGATTATTTCGAATTGCGAGGGAAGTTACGCTTTTAAAATTCTTCAAGTAACATTAATAGTTTGAGAAGATCAAGCTGTCAATTTATGATGTGCGATTATCTATAGTATATAGTAATATAATTTATTACTTAAGTCATATGTGGAGAAAATATGCAGTTATCAATCTAAAAACGAAAAACTTGTCACGAGCATTCGAACCCAATGGTACTTTGATACATAGTTAAATCAATTTGCAACAGCATAATGTCTTATGGTGTCTTACTTTGGGGTTCCGCATCCGGTATAGACACAATATTTGTAATGCAAGAGCAGGCTGTAAGGGCTGTCTATGGCTTGGGTCCACGTGAGTCACTACGTCATTTATTTAAGCAGATATACGTTTCAACGATCCCGTCGCTTTACATACTTGAGAACATCATGTACGTACGTAATAATATCCACCTATTTAGGAAAAAATATTCCACATCGCGTCGGGGCCGCGGTGACAATCTGGAAGTACCGTGGTTTAGACAGGCTAAAACCAGAAAGTCGCATCAACTTTTATAATAAAATAGTTGACATCCACAAACAACTAAGTATAAACAATTTTTAAAAGCTACCTTAAAGGCAAGGGCCTACTATAATGTCCAAAAATACACTGAGGACAAGGATCTGTGGAAATGACTCTTGCTCTGCACTTGCAAGACCCCTGGCTGCTGCTGATTTTATACCTAAATAAGTTTGTATAATTGCATCACAAAATAATAACAAAAAGAACTAGACTGCACAGTTTTTGCCGCTTCTTCTCTGTTCACGTCTAGGTTACCGAACCGGTGGTAGATTTTTTGTTGACGTTCAATAAGAGCTTAAGTTAAGTCTATAATGAATAAAGATTATTAGACTGTGAATTTGAATTAATGTCGGATTCTATTCCATGAACTCCATCGCCATTGTAATTCAGTTTTTTATAGAGTGTCGCATAGTTTAAAAATTTGTTTGAAATTAATAATTACTTAATGAATTTACTAAATAATGGCAAACTTCCAAACTTTTATCACCCATGTTTCTGCAATTTTCGTGTTTTAAGATGTCATTTAATACAGATATTGTTGTGTAATATGGTACATTTAAAAATGAAGAATAACTGTCTGATATTTGTCCTTTTGTTAATAGTGACGTCACTGGAAGGCGAAGTTGTTAACTTAACAAAGGTTACCCGCTCAGAAATGGGCGCTTACCTCTGTATCGCAGCAAACGGTGTGCCGCCATCCGTCAGCAAGAGGATAATGCTACATGTTCATTGTAAGTATTCACTTTCCGTACCTCACCAATCAAATCGTAAAAATTTAAGCAATGATATACAAGTACGAAGTGGATATGACACTAGCACACCGAAACAGAGGCACTCAAATAACGCCAATTGGTGTAATTAGATTGCAGTTCTATAGATAATTGCTATCTCTTTACGTATCATACGTTCTATATCATCTGTCACATTCACTTATATATGTCATATAATGTAAATGGGAGCAATTTTTAACTCTATGCAGTATGGGGATGCGTCAACATTATTGAATTTAAGAGATTTTTTTGTAAAGCTCTAAACACAGGCATTAAAAATCATACTAGGAAACTATTGCTTCTTTTATGAATATATTTCACACACCACAGTAAAAGGAACTCACTAGGTCATTCCGTGCACAAATTAAAAGTATAAATGCATACATTTGAAATATATTTCTCAAAGCTTAAGCAGCAAGCGCAGAGATGAGCAACGCGATTACAAATTCAAGACATGAATCAATTCGCCCATCGATAAAGTCTATACCTGCGTACGGTAGCAAAAAAGCCACGTTGCGAACTCACTTATCAGGCGATCTCCGAGTCTAATTTATAACCGGGAGTTATTCAATGCTCGGTTAGCCGGGGCGCGCCGATCCGGCATCGCGAACACGTAAGCAATTGGGAGATTTTCGTGTTATCACGTATCATCTTCGCACCGTGCCCGGCATCCGAAATTCACGGGATCGTTTGTAGTCGGCGCGTTGTTTACAGCCCTGTTGACTATTGCCAATCAGTATGGACGGAGTGCTTGCGTTTTGCCAACTTGTTTGCCGTGCAAGTTGTTTGACGGATATCCGTGATGGCGACTATTTTGTTGGGTGCCCGCAAATGATTTTCTTCATTACGTTTATTTTGAAAGGAAACTGATTGATTCTCTAGTTGGCATGTATAAATAAATAAATTCAATACAATTGAATAGATTATTAGGTATTGAAGTTTTCCCCAATCCCCAAAATTCGTATCAGCAGCAAATCAAACCAGCTAGCTAGAATGGAGCCTGTATTTTTGTAGAAGGCCAGTAAAGCATTTATTTCAAGAATATCCGTAAACGACGTCAGGAACCTATCCTCAAACGATGGTGTAAGTTACCATCAAAGGCCTCACCTGACCTAAGAAGAAGAAGTAGTCATAAAACTATAATTTATTTCACTTTATAATTACTTTATACTTATTATAGAATTTGATCACTCCGTGGCGCAGTCGCCAAGGTAGTAGCTTCGGCGTCGGATGTCATAGGTCCGATTCCCACACAGGACAACTATTTGTCTGACCCACAGATAGTCGTTTCGCATCTTGGTGTTTGTCTGCGGGAAATTTATATTTGTAAAACGTCCTATATTGTAAATACAGGATAATGTTACCCTAAAGAAAGGACAATGTTTTTTACAAATTACAAATGAATAAAACTTTGCAACTTATAACCCTTTTACATTGGCTATCCGTATGAATATGGAAAGTGTGGATTAAACAAGATTATAAACTAATACTCTTATTAGCATCGACAACTCAAGTAGTACGTCGCAACTTTATCGACATTACTGATTTTACAGAAAAAAAAAACGATGCAATAATCAGCATCATTACTAGTTACTTGCTACACATCCATACTATTTAATCATATTAGAAGAAGAATAAGAAGAAGAAGAAACGTTTATTCACGGTCTAAAAACAAATGAATACATACAAAACTTAAAAATAATAATGTAACTACACAGAAACTTAAAATAAATGTAAACATAAAAATAAGCAAACAAAATAACAACAACATGTGACGGTCTGTGTAGCAGCATAAGACCGTGAAACGGACGGGACTCGGTAAAAGTCGAGATACAGTAACTAGTTCTGATCCCGACACCGGTTTTCAGTCCGGCCCGCACTTCGAGGCAACTCGGACGGCTGCGACAGTGACCTTGCAAAAAATAGCTACAGCGCAGTATAGCGAAAATTAAATTGTTTTTGTTTGAACCTTTCATTCATATAGACAGTGGTTGACATTCGCCTGATGAGGTAAGTAAAAATTATAACTAATATTGGTTTTTTAATATTGGTGTCAGATACTATATTTCAATTTTGGTTTTAGGTTACCAATGTTTATCCCTACTCTGTGGTACTATGACACTTAACGATTAAGTGGTGGAATCGTGTAATAATTTCAAACATCAAACGAACCTCGTTGCGCATTGGCCACGCATTAAATTTACATGGTAATCTTAAAAAAATCCACCAAATAACATTATCACATTCACTCTCGATTTATATGTCAAAATATGCAAAAAGTGCCTTAGCGAATAGAATTCATACTAGTCTGCTATGAATAATTGACAAAAAATAAGGCATGAGGCAGTATGCAATCGAAAAAAATTAACAGATATTATCTATTTTTAACTGAATAGTAATAAACAACACTTAATCGTAATGGAATAATAGAAATTCTTAATTAGATTTAAAACAAAAAAATACATTATGACAGTATAATAATATAAAATAGCTACCTACTGCCCGCGACTACGTCTGCGTAGAATAGGCTGAAGGCGTAACATTCAGACAGAAAGACAGATATACATAAAATACGTATATAAATTATATATATATAGCCTATGTCTTATTCTGATATATAAGCTATGTTACTGTAAAGTTTCATTAAAATCCATTCAGCGGTATTTGCGAGAAAGAATAACAAACATCCATCCATACATACAAACTTTCGCCTTTATAATATTAGTAAGGATTAATGTGCACGCGAAATTATTAAAATTATTAATAATACTATTTTCATTATACAATATAGAAAAATGGAAATTTAATCAGTTAATATCACCTTTATATTATGTCGGTTCATAATAAATCTGCGTTCATTCACAATTAATCATTGTTGTGGAACTTCGCTGTATTTTATATATCCGCCGTGGAACGGTCCATCCGTCACCTTCGCCGTATCGATTTAGTTTTTTCATTAAATTTTTAATTAACTGTACTAGATACGCGAATTGGCTCCGTCTGTTTTGGTTTTAGTGCAATATGTACAAAAGTTTTTCCAGAGCGCCCGCCGCCGGCCCGACGGTCGAACGTGTTGTCCGCTACGTATTTGCATTCTGTTATTGGCAGTTCCGATGTAAACACTCGTCTGATTGGATAGCACTATGTCCGCATACATATATTTGTTTATTGAAACCGAATTTTTATACCCACTTAGTAGTACTGTAAATGAAAACGGATTCGCTCTACTTCAGCCTCATACTCTCTACTTTTACGAAATAGACATAATTATAAAAAGCGTTGTTCGTACTACGATAATTTTAAACAGAAAATATAGTATAAATATTATGTTACATTAAATAAATTTTGTCATCCTTAGAAGAATCAAAGTTAACATTTTAACTTAGCCCGCGGCTACCGTTCCTTTAATTTATCTTGAGGCAACAATATCAAACTTTTATCTTTTTTTAAATTGGACGAAACAACATGATGCCGCGTTAGAAACCACCTGAACACAAACGTAACATAAACAAATAGAGGAGTATGACACGCCCGGTGACGGGCGGGGAGAAATTCACTTCATAGGAAACGCAATTTCAGGCGAACAAACAAACTACTGCCGTCTGGAACCCTTCCACTCAGTTTAATTACTTCACAAAGAATGCGTCGCGTTCGCCCGATGAGGAGACAAAATTAACGCTCTCAAATATTTAATTTAAATTTCCCTCCGCGGAGCGAATGATAACAGCCTATCGGGCTAGCGGACTCCCTATGTTAACACAGAAGCACTTTTTAGACGGTCTGAAGTGAAGCAATTCATTTGTAACGGTAAGTGCTTGGTAACGCGGTGAGTTTCTTTTACTTGATTCGCTCCGGCACGAACAGACGCCGGAATGAGTTTAGAGGAACAGAAACAAAGTGAATAGATCGCAATCAATTTGCTAGGGCTGCTTGTAGATTCGGTGCGGTTTTTCTTCTATATAAAATCTCACCAACACTCAATATCTTTTTTTTTTCTTTTAATATTTCCTATAGTGATATAGTAAAGAAGTACATAATAATTTATTCACAAATAATAATTTTTAGTGACTTTCCAAAAATTTCCTTGAAGATTTTGAACTGTAAGAAAAATATATTTATCATATAGTAAAAATAATATAAAAGTCTCTCTCGTTTAAAAACACAAAGTAACAATTTCAAAATTTCCCAATGCCACCTGCATTCTTCGGAAAGGCAAGAAATCCGAAGGCGGTGGTGGCGTGTGCGCCGTTCAGTTAATCAAACTGTCACTTCAAGAATTTGCGCGAAATCCTCCCCAGGAAAACTCTCCCCAACTTTTGATTGCCGCGGGGAATTCCTATCCACTTACACATTTAGAAAATTTCTTAATCAACTACTAAATCCGACATTCTTTGTATTCAAAGTTGATAAATTTCCACAAACTATTAACATAATGTAAGGAAACTCGATCCGTAATTTTAATTAGATGAACATACCGTCGGTGGTTCGTTATTCCGCTTTATTTAATAACCAGAAGCCCTCGTTGAGCCTTCGAGTTATTAATTAGAACAAAAATTCCGATCGTTCAGATTTTGTTCGCTAAATTGGCCACTCAAACTCGTAAAAGCGGTCCAAAGGAACTTAACGACGGTCAAAGAGAATAACCGCAAATAAGTGGCGATCTAAGACCGAAGGGGAAAACCCAGCTCCGCTTAATTCAGTGTAAACGGGCTTTAGAATGTTGGCAATACTGCTTACACTTGTAGAGTAATCTGTTTTCCAATTCCTTTCTCTCTTAATGTTCTATGGCTCTAACAGTTCTTTGGAGTATTCTTATAGCAAAACGAAGTGACAAACTTTAATACTTTAACGATTACAGAACGCAAAAATGACGATTCATAATGATAAAAAACAACGGAACAGCTTAACTGCCCATTTAACAATTTCATGTTTAATTAAGAATGCAAAGATTCCAGCAAAGAGAAAAGTACTTTAAAAGCTAGTCAAGAAATAAAAAAGTAAGAGGATTGAAATTTTACATTTAGTAATTAAATTTTGCGAACTTCAGCGGCTTACAGTGTTTTGAATATAGGTAGTTTTAATGAAAATAAGCAATTGAACAGCCAACTATGTTTAATTCTGAATAAACGAGTAGTGAAGTAAATACGTTATGCAAACGCAAGTAGTGCATGCAGCCGGTCCCCGGATAGTATTCAAAGTAAACACCTGACATTCGCAGAGAGTTTTACTGCCGAATGGGAAGGGGGCGCGTCAGTGTACAAGCAGAATGCGCGAGCGCTAATTTTTTAAGCGTTTTTCGTTCCGGATATTTAAGCGGATTTAAAAAGAAAAGAAAGTATGTGCCTTGTGCTTAAATTAAATCAGATTCAGGTTGCTCGAAGGTGATATTCAGCCAATAAGTGCGGCAAAATGTAATGATGATGAAATAAGACTAACTAGTTTCGGACCCATCGGAGTCCATCCGATCGTTTATCAGGGTGAGTGGGATTAGTTCGCAGTCTCTCCCCGTCCCTTACTGAGTCGCGTGAGTTCAGCCGGCTTATTATTTCGTTAATGATATGTCACGAAAGTTTTAATACATTTTACTGTAATTATGATGATAAATGTAAAACAACGATTTTGTCATGGAATTGTGCTTTATGGCTGTTAAGGTGAATAAATTAAAAACTATTTTTAAAAATTATTTAAGACAGAAAAGAGGGGATCATTGTTATGCATACCTCCCTTTTATGTATGATAATGTATACAATACGAATATAAATGTACATACAATCCCATCTTCACAATATTGTAAATACCTAAATTTTTTTGTAAGTTTTATTCTCAATTATTAAAATTTAATTCAAGGCATGACTTTTGTGGCATATAACGTTCTTTTACGTACTTGTGTAATCATATACGAGTATGTATGAAGTAATTACGAGATCTGAATTTACTTTTATTGTCATGTACGATGAATTACAGAACTTAAGTATGTAATTTACATAATATCGGTCATAGTTAACTGTATAAACCTTTTTACGATAGCATAATTTTAATCTTCGCCAAACCAATAAAACATTTGTGTTGAGTACAATTATCCAAACTAAATAGCAGTAAATGTACGTAAAAGGTTATTGTGTTCAACTTTACGAAATTTAAAGGTTATTCACGGATAAAGCCAACGGCATATATGAACGCAACGTTGGCACATAAATGCAAATGGAAAATTGTGTAAACAAAAATGCGGCTAAAGTTGCGGCACTAAGCTCCGCCAATCGCTAACATGCCTGACGACTACAGAAAACGGATACAAAAAGATATCACGAAAATTTCTCTTCCGACCTCTCACTTTCACAGATAATTTACTGCATTAGCTAAGCCAATATTCATGTCCAATGTAATTTTTATGATTCGAATGCACAAATTTTTTTTTATGTCAAATACTTATTTAAATAGGTTTTCTTAAATGTAAAATGTGTATCACCAGTCCATTGTATCCATTTGTTATTTTTAACCTGATTTCTACCGCAGTTTCTTGTCGTCAAAATATGGTTCTGAATTTATGAACACAAACGACAAATATTACAATTACAATCTTCTTGCGGAAGATGTGTTCTCGAAGATTTTTTTCCCTTGAAACTTTATTCCCATTGATTTTCATTGTGAACATGAAGATGAAATGAATGTTACATTCTTCAATTTTTTTTACAACATCCACATATGATAGACACAAAATATATCGATATTCAAACAGATCAACTAAAACATTGTCTTGGCGTGTATTACGATATAAATCTGAATGTATTATTTCATTTGCAGTCCACCCTTTGGTGCAAGTGCCAAATCAGCTGGTCGGTGCTCCCACCGGTACAGATGTGACCCTGCAATGCCACGTCGAAGCCTCGCCTAAAGCCATTAACTATTGGACCCGGGAGAACGGTAAGCTTATTTATATGGTGTTCACCTTATTGCAGACGAATATTTCACAGTAAGAATTTTATTTCAAGGTTCGGAAAGTTACTTTTAACGACAATCTACTTAAATCTATTTTACTTTGTAGCTAACTTGGTAGATTACTTAATTATAAAACTAACTTCACATAAAATATTTCAGAAATTCAACCCAAACAAAAATCTAAGAAATTTACATTCCTCCTGATTTGTTATTCCCGTTTAAACTAAAATTAAGTGCCTATAAAAAATGTTCGGATGATTTTTAAAGGATATTAAATTCTGCATGAAACATGATATTTTATAAATTTGTAGAGAAATGAACGAAAAGTTACTTGCCACCGCGATGTCAGATTCAGTAATAGAGCAGATGGAAGCTTTCAAAAATACAAAATGCATCAAGACAGGACTATCAGCGTGTTTTCATATAGGAACAAGTTCTAAAAATTAAATTTTTATATACCTTGGAACATTCAATTATAATAGGTCACTTAGACGAATTTGCTATTTAAAATGGACTTGAGTGTCTGGCACCGATGTCGTAAATATATAAAGTTTGCAACTTTTGTTCTTCTTTTACAGCGTGATGATATTCAGCCACCGACAAAATAAGTTATAGAATTGTAAATATAAATGGAAGCAAACAAAACCAAAATTTAGACAGATCCACTGAATCATACAAATGCAAAATGAAACAAGTTTGCCATAAAACTGAGTTTATTAGGCCTGTAAATTTTCGGCCGCATTTTCACGTAGCCCAAATACGTTTGGGTCCATTAAAATCTGAATAATATAAAACAGAGTCTAATTACAATCTTTGATTACGACCTAAACAGCGAAACCAAGCTGAAAGTCGAATATTTTACGGGATACTCGTAACTCATAAAGCTTATTAAGTCCGAGGCACGAATCTTAAGAACGGAATAAGCAACTAATTTCATTATTCATAAAGCACATTGAAAGCGCTAAAGTAGTCATTATGCAGAACGTTAGTCACTTTTCTACTATCCTCTTTTGACAGGCTACGAGCCACTGGCTGCTAACAAGTTACGACATTTTTATAGGTGTTTTAAAAGGAAAAGTAGCAATCGCTTTATGTGCGTGATTTATAACATCTACAATTAAAAGGCGTTAAAGTTATAACAAATGATCCGATAATTACAGCGATGTGGAGGCATTATTTATTAATACTTCTGGAAGTACCATATTTTTTTACATAAATATAGTATATTTATGCAATATGTTTATGTATGTACTACACATTGATACCAATTTCAATTTTTTTTGCCACAGTAGGTTCTTATATTTGTATTATAAAAATAATACATAGACTTTTTGAATTGGCTGTTTGTTTTAAATTTTTTTAGTGTAGTTATTCATATTATACTAATAAATTGCTATCTCGCTTCGCGGGTACATGTATAATAGTTATGTAAAATTGGATATGTGATATTATTAAGAATATACAAGCAATAAACGCACATAATGCACATTTAATAATTGTGATATTAAAAAATATTGACAAATCCGAAAGGTCCGAAATTGCGTTCGTTTTTAACAAATGAATGATAAAAAAATGACAGCTTGGTAAAAACAAAATCAATGTAACTGTACACTGTCTAAAAGATAATAAAAAATTCTATTCTAATTATTTTCGTTACTTATCATTATAATATTTCACTATGAAAGAGATGTCTCTATAAAACATGAATTTCTTAACTTAAATTATTCTTTAGAAACGTTCTTTTAATAAATTACCAGTAATTCTTACAAAACCAAAGGCACTAGAATTTTTGCTCTGTTAATTTTTTTATTTTTCAGTAAGAGATGAGCGTCGTCATTTATTCATTCAAAGTGTACAAACGTCTAAAAGCTTGTTTATTTTGAATAATTTTTTGATGGAAAGTTATTGCTTTATATAGGTTTAAGTGACTTGCAAATAAAGTAATTACTTAACTCCTCAAAAGAAAACATCCCGGGAAAGAAAAATATTGAGCGGAGTGTAGAAACACATGCCAACTAATACAAATATGGCTCCTATAAATTGTCGACAGAGGGTTCATTCGACATCATTTCTCATTAAAATGTAATGATATAATAACAAAGTTTAAAAAAAACATGTTCAGTCAAATGAAATTTCTGTTAAGCCTTTAAAAAGGATAAAGTAAATTAATTACATGTTATTAATTTCATTCTAGGTAGAATTTGGTGACGCTAAAACAAGAAATCGAATAGTATTAGGAAACCACACCGTTTGTCCTATGGAACCACGGCTAAAGTTAATATAGTGTAAAAAAAAGTAACTGTTAAAACCGTATAACATTTTTACCAATTCCATAGACGAACTGCAAATCATAAGATCCTTTTAATAATAAAATTTTCATTGTGTTACTTTTAAAACCGTTCGCGTGAGTTTCGGGCGCGACAAAAGGTATTTGGACCGTATGTATAAATACGTTGCGCGTTAATGCGTAGAAACAACATGGTGCGACGCCGATACTGCAGCTAGGCCCGCCACTAAACTCGAGTTAGGAACGGATTTACGTTTTCTGGCCGTGTGCGAGTTGCCCACGCCGCCGCAGCTGACCCGCAAAACGAACAAGACCCCCTTTTTCCGCACAACACACTTTAAACTTAAATTCGAACCGATCGGACGATTTATTCTTTTGAATGTTTGCAGGATATCGATTTAACCCGTATTCATGACGCGCGACCGTTTCTTTGTGAGGACTGTACACTTGTTATTGTTGAGAGTAACTTAAATGTAAAATATATCGCTGGCGTCAAGATACAGTTCTTGATTGATTTAGTGAAAATATAGATACAGGACCACTTTCACAATACTCTGTTTGTTTACTGAATATCCTGCAAAATGTATTAAAGGACAGACCTTTTTAAATCAGACTTTGAATGTAGACGTTGTACAGGTACGTAAAAGAAAAATTTTTGTGATGATTTTTTTATTAATTCGTCTTTTAATATTTAACTCGTCAATGGGCTGTTACATTTTTCCTATAATATTTTAAAAGCTTTATTAAATTTAAAATACAGATTAGATAACGGTTTAAAAATAACATATGAATCAAATTAGGACTTGGACTAATGAATTTCTTTGTGTGAAAAGGTTTTCTTGATTATGTAAAAAAGGACTTAATTACTATGACCGACAAAGGCATGGTGACAGAGCGGATCGTGGTGTTCAGCCGATACAATAACCAGACGTGTATCCGATGCCGACAGATTTAGATGCAGTTACAAAGGCAACAGAGGCCGCCATTACGCGGGCAGAGCGACCGACTGCGCAAAAAGCAGACCAAATTCTATTACCGTCCGATATGCAACAAAGACCGCTGGCCCGCCCGCTTCAAATTGCTTTAGGCTACAGTCGCGATATTTACTCGCCCACACCACAATATTCTAACAAATAGTATCCAATTTTCAACGCTGACTATTCAATGTGTTGCTGAAGTTTTTATAAGCCGTAACGCTTTCGGACATTCCACGTGCCGAGTCAGATGAAACGTGACTGTCCGAGTTGTGATGCTAGTGACAAACAAGCGCTGCCGAGCTTGTGTAGGCTATAAATTGCGGCCGCTACAAATTAAATTAGGTAATACACGGGCGTGACGAGCCGGGACTAGCGGTGGGGGACATGGAACGGGTGTGCCCCGCTCCCTCCCACGAAGCTGCATACACAACATCCGCCAACATTTTTGTTGTCATTTAAATTGCTCCACTTCTTATTCATAATTTTTTTTCGCCAACCAGCAACGTTAAATTAAACGCTGCTTGACATTAAAACTGAATTTTAAGTCTTGGTAACACAGCTTGAACACAAAGAGTACTTAGGATATGTAGCGAAAAATGTTTTGTTTCGTTTCCTTTTTACCCAGGCAGATGTACCTTTGTGGAAGAAGGTTAATTTAATTTAAAAAAAATAACTGTTTTGTAGCAATCCACAAGCTGATAATTTGGTGCTAGATGCGCTGTCCGATATTTAGATAAATGTTAATCATTAAATTTCGATTATTATTTATTCGAGATCACATTCTGAAACAGTTAAAAAAATATATATGCTGATGGAGTAGACTAATATTTATAATTGACTACTGTTGAACGTTAAAGTTAAAGCTAATCTGTGTTGTTTTTTTGACACGTTGACACGATTGTAAAAAGCCAGATACTTGACTCGGGTGTTGACGGAAATATAGTACAGGACGTAATCATTTATTATCGGCAGTAAACGTCTTCGGTGTGGCACAAAAAGGCAAGAGATTGACAGCCACCGAAGACTTGAAGGGTAATTGGCAAAAAGTACACCGGGCATCAGTGTGAGGTGAACACGTATGGTTAAACATGAATTAAACGATGTACTGACGCTGTAGGGAATTCTGTAGATTTTTTCTGGTTTTATAATAGAGTTGCTATAGAGCCTGGGCGATGTAGAGCTGTTGTCAATAACTGTATCATATGTGTATGTGAATGTTTGTAATCATAATTATAAACATGTAGCTCAATATTCGCTCGATAACAGCAATGAAAGGTACAGCTGTGAAAAATAGAAATAAGCTTTCAACGGTTTCCAAAACATTCAACAAATGCCATAAATAAAAAAAAAACAAATCGCCACAACTCGATTTTTATGGAATCACATACGCATTCTAATGCTAAAGTAACTTTTGTGTCGAATTCGTCAAATAAGTAGAAATCTAATTATTCGTCAACATTAAATTGTCTAAGTTAATTTATGTTATGTTATATTGTGTTAAGTAAATATTCAATCGTTAATTAATTAAGTTATTATGCAATAAACAAAAGAGGGCGTGTCGGTCACAGGCGGACGGCATCAAAACGTCAGTTGCAACGTGCGAGCCGTGCGATTTGTGGTCAATTCACACGGCCTGGGACCGAACCACTTGGCCACTCCGACGTCTTTGCCTCCATCGCTATTATTATTGAACTGTGAATGGACACAGCTTTGATAAATTTTAAAACTACGAAAGGCTACAACTTTTACGCATGTAATCTATCCGTGTACTCACTTTGTAATATTTGAAAAAAGGTGAGGAATTGAACATTGAAACAATTTCATTTACATAAATACAAACAAACACGGCCCTAAAAAGATGAGGCAACGAAACAATTTTAATACAAATACAAACGAACACGGGCCTTAATTTTGGTAAAATTATTTCAAAGGCAGAAGGCCAAATACTGGGTCACCAACTTTAAACTTTAAACAAGGCTTTTGATAAACAAAAACCTGAAATAAAAACGCTTTAATATAAGCTATGGTTGGTAAAAAAGGGAAAATAAAACTCCAACGCAAAATAAGCGGCACTAAAGGAATGCAAGCAATTTTTAATGTGGAGTGAGTGGAAGGCAACGTGACCCTCGACCGCCGGTAATATTGTAGGTAACGGAGAGTATTCGCATGAATCGGTAAAGCACAACTTTTTCCTATGTACTGAAATTCCATTATTGCTTAATAAGGTTAATAATTAACGTCTTGATTGTTATGAAAAACAGTTTCGGGTGACAAAAATATTAGGAACCCTCTAATCTTTATGTCAGGGGTAACTGATGAATATACTTAAACATAATTTTCTTTTGTAAAGACATACATGTTGTGACGTACACCTACCTAGATATTAGAAAAATAATAATGTTTAACATAAGTTCATAACAAAATATATTTCTTGTGGAGTCCGTACCCTCTGGCGCAAAAGAGAGGACACTATCCACTACGCCAATTAGGTCTTCGTAGGTGGATTAGATATAACAAATTAAGTATATGAGGATGGGTGGTGGGAATCACTTATCATCAAATCCGATGCTTGCTCGTTTGTCACCTTCCAATTAAGTATTATTTAAAAAACTGTATACAAAAAAAAGAAGATTTTTTTCTCTATTCGCAGTTGCGCGAAGGTTACAGCTAATGGCATTTACTTTCGGTAGGTTGCAAAATTTTGCGGCAACTCACAGCCCAATTCCAGCTAGAAAGTTAATGAAAACAAAATCATATTTACGTTAACATTTGGTAACAGACAAAACAGATGAGATATATTAAACACCCATAATCTGCTCAATTGCACAAGCAAATTAGACCAGAATCACTCATGAAACAATTTTAATTAATATGTTATAAATATATAAAAGAACAATTTTCAAATATTTCCCGGAGGAGGATATAAAATTGTTGTGTATTTAACTCTATTCAATTGATATAGTGGAAGTGTAAGCATATTATTCAGCTAGTACATGTCGAAACAACATATTTCACCACGATATCGGGGCGGAGTATGGTCGGAAGTGGTCGAATATAAATGATCGGAAAGGGCTGAAGCTATCGAATAAAGGATGATGCAATAATAGCCGTATCGCCGGATAATGCTTATCATAGTTTAGGAGCACAATGTGTTACCGTAATATATACCTTTTCAAATTTTAAAAATTTATATAAAAAATTCATTTCTCCAATTTAATTTTGCAAATTTTTAGTATTGTTTTAATAATCTTAAGCTATGATGTTAGAACATTATTTTTACTCAAAGCTATATATGTATACCAAAATTATCAAATAACCTATTGTAATTTTGAAACTACAACGTTTCCGTATTATTAGTATTACCAACTGGCCACATAAAACCTCGAAGGCGGATAACTAGGAAAATTTAATGATATATTTTTTTATTTAATAATAACTCAGATAACAAAAATTTCTAAAAGATTTCAGAACGTTTTCCTTCCGAGGTCTAACAAAATAAGTCTGTAAGACTTTACGACGACCTTTTTCCCGTTTAGTGCTTAGGTGTAAATTCCTGTTTTAGTTTAGTGTGTGATGATATTAAGGTTTTGTAGATCATACCATTATATCTATTGTAATTGTTTGTTAGATGTTATTTGGAGGTCAAACCTTTGTTTTTCAAAATATCCACCAAGTTCATCGAAAACAGTCCATCGATTTTCATTAAATTATATTGGCAGGATCACTTAGTAAAAACTATTATATCGCCGCTAGTTAATGCAAATTGCCGCTATAAATAGTTATAGTCACTACTGGCCATTCGTTGTGCGCGATAACGATGTAATTATTGTACAGGTGAGATGATAATATCGAACGACAAGTACCACATGACCGAGATCACCAGCTCGGCGTACAGCGTGCAGATGCGCCTTGTAATCCGGAACATACAGCGCAGCGACCTAGGCGGCTACAAATGCATCTCCAAGAACTCAATAGGAGACGCAGAAGGAAACATAAGATTATACGGTAAGTTAACGGAATAACCAAAATATCTGTTTAATAAATATAATACGATATTTTTAAACAGCGGCTTCCTATACGTAAGATTTTCAGAATAAAATATTCATTTTTTTTATGAGAAAAGGCAAGCGAGCATCGTTTTCGAGGTTAAAAGTGTCTAGTATGAAGACAGCTTATAAACTGACGTTCATAGGGAATAACTAGATTTACATACAAATCGCATTTGCAATATAATGGCGATTCTTGCGACTTCTTTTGTAAAATAGAACATCCCTAAAACTTTATTGAAGACATCAACATACATATATAGCTTGTCAACGAAATTTTGCCTTTACATATTTGATAGCTCAGTGTCCGGGCGCTCGCCTTTAATTCAATATACTCGAGCAACCTGAGTTCGATCACCGGTGCCGGCACCAATGAAGTTTTTAACTTTAAGTGCAGACTTATCACGTGCTCCGCGGTGATGGAAAACATCGTGAGGAAACCTGCATATTTTCGAAATAATAACAATGAATGTGAAGATATGTGAAGTCCGCCAATCCGCATATGCCCTGATACCCTCTGTATAGAGGAGACATTTGCCCAGCAGTGGGACATGTATAGGCTGTTACTTTACAAAGATTGGTGTTTGATTATACAGAAATGGAGCTGCCGCATCGAAAGTCGCGAAATGAAGAAGAGGGCGACGCGGCATCGGAAGAAAGCAACGATGTGCGTTCGAGTCTTCAGGGACCTCTGAGGGAAAGTGGGAACCGGGTGGAAGATGCAGGGTTCCTCGGCGGCGGTGGCCCACCCGCCAGCAAATCGCACCGCCTCCTTCCACACGAACTTTTTCTAATAACTGCCCTTATGTATGCCGTGTTAGACATTAGCCTGTAAAAAGTTGAAACATAGACTCTGACGTTAAGTAACCTGCGCGATTTGTTTCCCCGAACGAAATTGTAACATTGTAAACTATTTACAATTTCACGTGTTTAACGTCTAATTACTTCTAACGGTTTTTAATTATGTCGACTTCTGTTTTTTTAATAAATAATTTTTAAATATCTTGAATATGAGCCGAAATAATCGGAAATCACGAAATATAGGGATATTTCATGTAAATACGCACCGAAAGAGTTATCAGGGTACGGTGGTTTAGCCAATAAAATACGAGTATGAACGTCACATCAGAGGTGTGGTCGCAAAAACTGTAAAACTGTGAAATAACCGTAAAATCATTTTAATATTATTTCCAATTGATATGAATAAACATTCAGTAATATGAAAATTTTATCTCGGATATACAACACGATCCATATTATCTCAATCATAAAGTGTAAAAATGTTTAAGAGATAAAAGAATATTTGCAACATTATTTGCAAGTTATAAGTTAACTGTGAATTGATCATTTTTTTATTCTGGGTTTAGTTTTAATACCAAATCATTATATTTTTTTTTCGTATATCTTGTATCCCGTTGAAAATAAAAATAATTTATATTTTTGTTTAAACTTTTCATCAATGAATATACAAGATTAAATACACGCTTATGTATGTGGAATATATGGCTATGTGTAAATAATGTAGAAAACTAATTATGCCTAAATTTATTTGCATTATCGTATTGTATTGTTAATCATTATTCGTAAAAATGTTTAAAAACGTTCACAACCTAAATAAGAAAAAGCTGTTTTATTTCACGTTATAAATAGCGCTATTATAAGTATAATATAGCATAGTATTATAACTGTTGATGTTAACACTGTTGAATTTATAAACAATAATTTGTACAATATAAGCGAAGCATTATCTCGTAATAATAGTTACGTTCAACTGAAGACGTAGGCTCGTATTTAATTATATATAATTACATTACTTTGATTTCAAATAGTGACAAATATGTAATCTTCGTATATTACCCCTCTATACTCCTTAACCGCCTTAAAATGATGTATATTATTGCCTGCAAACCAAAATATACGACATAATGTAAAATTGTTTTTTATTCATATTTTTTTATCTACTCTTATATACAAAATAAATACATTAGAAATGGAAGCAAAGTAGCCCGGACCTTTTTTCATACCAGACGTAAATAACATCATATTATCATCAAAGATTTTCAAAAACTAAAGTAGATTTATCTGAACCGTAACCATGAATTTTAACGTTTTAGAAAATATGCAAACTCATACCAATTGGTAAAGTGTGTACAGTGACTAGACATAATATGTGAAAAACATATGACATTATTTGGAATATGGAGCCTAATTCTATTAAATATGGTAAAAGCTATTAGAGCGGATAATTCAATGCTGAGGAGAAATATGACTTGTGGTAGCCCTTACAATCTTCCGTTTCGACCCTCTTAATTGCTACCTTTGGATATGGGACAAAATGTAAGAGCGATCTAGATAGGATGTAACCACGTGCATTAGCGAAATTACCTGAGGCTCTATTATTTTCATTGCGAGAAACGGAGCTAAGAGTTTCTGGTGCGATAAGGGGGAACTGACGAGAACATTAACTCGAGAGGAAATTTCTTAATATTTACTCGTAACACTTTAAAATCTAGTGAAAGGAGTTATGCTCGGGCTGAACATCTACTGTGGGCCCATCAAATACACAAGAAGATAAATTTTACAGAAAGGAAGAAATTGAAAGCATTAAAACGAAAAATAATAAATCTTATTTGAAAGTACTAGTATTCCTATAAATCTTATAATGTATTGTTCAATTAAAGAAGAGAAAGAAAAAAAAGCAGATCATTCTCATATCATAAAAATATGTTTTGAAGATAAAAATATTCCTTAAAAATCTTTTTCATTTAAACTCGAACCATTCATATATTTAAGCGGTCGGTGGCGCGAATACTCGGAAATGAAAGTTGTATATCCTAGTGGTATCATTGTTGCTGTTACGGTCGCGTAAAAACCCGCCCGCGCGGAGCGGAGTCCATTGTAATCTCATTATTTATGTACTGTTTAACGTCCTGGTCTGAAGCGCATCGAATTAACAATTATCAATAAATCCGCTCATGGCTGCATCCTACCTGTACGTTTAACATCATCCGATGTTCCTATAATCCCTTTGACACTGACACAAAATTATATGCAAATGTGAGTTATATGCAATATGATAGCGCACAGAAACTGAGGCACTCAAATTATTTGTGTAATTAGATTGCAATTCTAATTGAACGCTATCTCTTTCAGTATCCTACGTTCTGTATATCATCTATTACATTCACTTATATATGTCATATAATGCAAAGCGGAACAATTTTTATACGCTGCGCAGTATGGACATGCGTCATCTATATTATTATACCTCATTGGACACATACACAAAATATTTCGATTTTCTTAGCTCCTCGGGTTCGCCGCACGCGAAGCCAATGTACGAACGACCAACAAATTCTATTTTCGACCCCAGACGTATCGATTTTGTGCCTCTTGATTTTCTGTAAGGACATTTAATAAACACTTTCATGATGATTTTTCTGAATCTTCAGATTTTTTAAAGTAGGCAAAAGATGAACACACGGTAGTAATAGACATATTACGAATAAATGATTTTTATTTATTTATCTGACACGGTCATTTTACTCACCTGACCGTAATGCAGTTTTCGCAGGTCACTTTTTCAGTAAGTCAAAAGGCAATATTCGGTATCAAAAGTTCTGATAAGGAACCCAGGGATCATCTCGGGAATAGAGGCAAGTTAACTCAATAAAGGCGCATGTAAATTTCCAAACGTCCCAAGTGTATTGCACTTTGGATATCGCAGTTTGCATCTCAAATTCTCGCCGCGTCGCTTCAAACGCAGGTCAAACAGCAGGAAGTCGCAAGTAGAAGGTCAATTTGTAAACATTGGACATTTACAGAATTTTTTGGATCTCGAATGAATTTAAAAAGGATTAATCATAAAATCTCTCTGACAACTAATTGAAACAACGTAGGCATATTTTTTTTTATTTGAGAAGGCGGCAAGCCATCTGGTGATTCACCTGATGTTAAATGATAACCACCGCCCATTGACATTGGCAACATCGGTAGGGTTGCATATGCGTTGACCCCTTTTAATAAAATGGGCCCCGGCTACCTCCCTCACCAGACAAAACGCAGTAGTATAACTATTCTACTTCAGGCCGGTGTTCTCTAAGGTCATGGTACTAACCCCGGATGGACCTGCCCATTCGTGCAACAGCAAAGGCTGTTGCGTGGCACTACCACAGTTATAAGTTATTTTTTCGCAGTTATATTTGTTTCTTTCAACATTGTTCTTTAAAAAACCACTATTTAGAATTTAGAACATTAACCAGCATTAACAATCACACTATCGATATGTTTTCGCAAATACTTTAAAATGAGTGAAACCATTTTGTATTATCATATAGTAGAATCGATATCCTAATTTAACCGGGTTTAAAAGTTAAATGCGATGAAATCTGTAAAGGTTATCTTATTAAGTTATCTTCTTTTTGCTTTGATTTTTTGGATTTTGATTATGGTTTTTCACAATAATTATCTAAACTTATTTCCGATCGTGTCATTAAGTTAAAGGTTTAAATATGTCTTGAATTTTAATTAATTCCAACACTTATGTTCGATATATACAGAGCGATGGATGTTGTCATAATGAAGACTTCCATCTACCGAACTCTGTATACACATATTCCTAGATTTCATATATTTGTTTGCAGACATGTTATATTCGTGGGAATACCCTCGGCGTACGGGACGTCCGGTTACAATCTGCATAACAATGGTGTCCCGTAGATTTCCCGCACTCCAGATGGATGCTAATGTCCTAACCCATTCATAATTCATGTCTTAATGAAGTGGACGTGTTCCCAAGATGTATAACTTTGATCCCATTCAAACATCCCTCGAGTTATTCAAACAGATTTTAGACTCATGTGATACGTTTTAAAAATATTAACGCCGATTTAACACTGGTCGGTTTCAAACGTTTTGGTGGGTTTTATGATTTTTATATACAAAATAAATTTGTTTTTTCGGTTCCAAACACAAAAATGATAACAAACGAAAAAACATGATTTAGAAATTGTTATTTTTAGGACCAACCGGGATTTATTAATCTTATATTTATACAAGGGCGCGGTAGTTATGAACAGTTATAATACCTGTGTTTAGAACTTGCAAATAACCTAAACTATTTTCATAATCATAGTAAAATTTACCTTGCATAAATAGCTCTTCCTATAGTGAATTTTAAGGGGAAAAAATAAAATTATAATTGCTTCACGTCGGAAACTCAGTCAGAGGATCGGCTAGGTATTTTGTTGTACAGTATATATCATCATATATCATCTTATACCCCTTTAAACATTGTTGAGGTCCGGAAAGAAACATAACATTTAATGCAGCCTTTTCCCTCTTAAATTATAAGTTGAAGTTTTTTTCCTTTTTAAAGATATTATTGAAAATATTCTTTTAAGTATCATTTGTCTGTACGTAAATGAGTGGAATTCTAGATTTACTAACCAGTGATAAAGTAGGCGTAAACTAAAAATATCGGTGGGTAAAAACCATATCTCATACAATTATAAAATTCTAGTTTCAATATCTAATGAGACCGCATAATGGTCTAGACATGAAGTAAAATTGCTATTTTTCAGAATCTGAATTGATTTTTTATTACAAACATTATCATACGTTATGCCCATCAATGAATTTTTTGATTTACCGTATAATGTTGGTAGTTGAAAAGACGTAATATTCACTCAAAGTATTCTCCCAGCATATTTAAATAATACATTCAAGATAAAAAGTGGCTTATTGTGTTCATAAATAAAATTGTTCACTTTCCTTCTCACGTGTATTGTATGGGTCCATTGTGAATGTGAACACAGGTGCGGCCGTTCTTACCCATTCGCTTGCTTAAATGTAAGTATATTTGACATTCATAGGACCCTATGAATGTCAGAAATATTCATATAATACATTTTTTATCAATCAACTTATAAGCTTTTAGCAATCCATGAAGTCATTCTCAAATATTTTTTTCTTTGCATTTAATCAGGTCTCTTTTTTCTTGCAGTCAGTCGAGAAGACTAAATCATGCTGCTTAAAAATGTAGCAATAATTTATGATAATCTAGCTGCTGCCCGCGACTACGTCTGCGTAGAATATGCTGAAGGCGTAATATTTAGACAAAAAGACATGTATACATAAAATATGTATATAAATTATAGCTTATATCTTATTCTGATGTATAAGCTATATTATTGTTAAGTTTCTTTAAAATCCATTCAGTGGTATTTGCGTGAAAGAGTAACAAACATACATCCATACATACATACAAACTTTCACCTTTATAATATTATAGTAAGGATAATGATAATTGATTAATTTTATAATAATAAAATAATTTAAATTCAGATAAGTGCCCAATTTAGATCTCGAGTGCGGACTTAGGATGCATATACCTATAACTTGTCCATTATCAGCATGTTTTTTTTTACATAGATATCTTTAAGAACAGATAATATATGTGGTCCAACTAATGAACGCATGAAAACATATTCCGTCTATGCGTGTGAAAATAGGACTTGTTTGACTTTTTCTATAGTAAAACGTTTATTCGGAAATTCATTTTGCAACCGTTCAACGGTGTCGGCCTATGGGAGTAGTGAACCTAGAATTGATTTTTCCGAATGCAATCGACCCCCCGTCCCATGTGACCATAAAAGCCGCGCACTTTAATGACTGATCAATTAGGTATCTGATCCAACTTTAAAAGCTTGATTATCGACGTTACAGTCTACAAACCGCAGCGTGCATTGCACAAAATTAACCGAAAATTAACGGGAGATTGTGTAAACTTCGTCTGCACGCTGCACTATATTACGTGTGCTTTCCTCTCGTTGAGTTAATAAAGTAGTGATCTTATTTTTTTAATAAAACCCATAACTCTTTGTTCTATAATAGATACCTTTTCGATAAACTAACAACCAAAAAAGGATTTAAATTCTGTAAACAATACCACGGCGGACAACAGTTAAAAAGTTTAAGCAAACAAACACTAATGAATACAAATATTAAAAAATATGTCTATTTCATAGCAGTATAAGTAAGTTATTATACTGAGTATAAGCATTTTCACTATTCCCTTGGAGACAACCACGTTGTCAGATCGAAAGACGGACACAGTCAGATTAGTGGACAGTTTACTGTACGCGTTCTGAATTCTTGTCTTAAACTAAGTACATATTTTCACCAAAACAGCAAAGATCAAGTGTAAATAGGTTTATCTTAGAATTAGCCTTAGAGTAGTAGAAATTTTAAACTTACATCAGTTGGGAATGATGTAACGCCATTTACACGCCATGCAGCGTCGCATGACGAGCGAAACGGGCAGGCGGCACTTGTGATTTCACTTGGAAAAAAAATCTATGCACTTAACGGAGGAGTAAGCGTGGCTTTCGACCGCATTCACTTTTAGCGATGTAGTTTTTCTCGTTTTACACCCTCCACACCCATTCTCCCATCTGGAGTCAGCCGTCTCTCTCTGGCAGAGCATCCCGTCAGATCTGCACATTTCACTTCAACGTTCGTGACACAAAGCAATATGTGAGTTAACTTCAGTGTAACGGTACTTGTTTGAGTTGCGATTTAATGCCTCCTTAAACTGAGATGGTTTACGGGTTAAACCGACTGAAAAAGTTCCGAATACGTACTGTTACAAACTTTGAGAATACTTTCAACATAAACGTATCTCGGCGTAATCAAAAGAAGTTTTGCGTTGTTTTTTTTTAATATCTTAAAAATATTATAAAGTAAGGTATTGTTGCATTATGTTCTTTTTATTGTTACTTATAAGCACGAATCCTCTTTTCCGTGAACAAAAATATTTTTAAATATTAGGTTTACGGTTAAAGAACTTTATAACCTACATATACAAATCATTGTCACTCATTTGGTAAAATGTTTCACAGATGTTTCACGCATTTGTTTTAAAATCTTTATAATTTAAATTATAAAAACCGGCCAATTGCTAGTCGGACTCGCGCACGAAGGTGTCCGTACCACTATCTATGAAAACGACAACAAATATATATCCGTTGTATGGGAGCTCAAATAATTTTTTTGTGTTTTTAGTATTTTTTGTTATAGTGGCAACAGAAATACATCATCTGTGAAAATTTCAACTGTCTAACTATCACGGTTCATGAGATACAACCTGGTGGCATACGGACATACAGACACACAACGAAGCCTTAGTAATATGGTTCCGTTTTACCCTTTGGGTACAGAACCCTAAAATAGTCAGCGACTTGTTCTGTTTAGGAAGACCCGCCACTAAATGGAGTGGTCGTCACTCCATCTAGTGGCGAGTCGTCGTAAAAACAAATCTTTCATATCGGTACGAACTTTATTTCAATTTATTTATAACATTTACATTTTAAACATTTACATTTCAATACTTTTAGAAAATTCTAATCAATACTATTGAAAATATGTATTTTTAAGATATATGACAACAATACCGATCAATACATAAAAATATGTTCCCGTATTAAAACTAGTTGACCTAGGATACCCAGTTATAATAGTAAACAAGGCTTACCACCTGTCACGTTTGGGACTAATTAAGCTCAGTGAAACGTTTAGCGTTAACCACATCTGTCTGCTGCATTTTAGTCAAAAGATATTCCAGCCACTGTTTTGTATTATTATCAAATTTTGAATACTTGTCAAATACCAAACGTTTTCAAAATAGTAAAGATTTTATTGTTTTGTATTATGATATACGTTTCATAAGCAGCATGAGAATTGTATAGTTAAAATTATTTATTATGCAGGTTTCCTCACGATATTTCCCTTTACCGCTGAGCACGTGATAGGTCAGCACCTAAAATTAAGACATTTTTACTGCTGGCACCGAGATTTCAACGTAATAAAATATTTTTTTTCATGTAATGAAATAAAAAAATATTTTCCATGCTACTAATAGTGGGACAATAATTTATATCCTAAACAATTTCCTAAGTGGAGTGATTAGATTAAAAGCTAATTTATATTTGCCAGTAAATCAAACATTAACTTTAGTCCAATCCAATTTACATGACGAAGGTGGCGATATCGCATGAGAAACTTCTCGAAAACTTTTATCAGATCCCCACCTATTGCGGCTGATGAGTTGTGCAAAACTTTATTCACTGAAACGTTGATCCACTTCAGTGGAGTCAGATCTGTAATAATAAATCAATATTAGACGCTTAAGACATAAACTTGAGAGATATCTAAAAATACGTATAACAGGTCTGCGCCTATATTTTCATTAAATTCGAACGAATAAGCTTTATTTACAACAATAATTGTATAAACAGATCTCAAAAGTGAGACTTAATTCAGAATTTAAGTAATTTTATTTAAGACAATTTGGGTATGTTACAAAAACTTTATAATCGTTTGGCATTGACTACATCGTTATTAAAGACACTAATCTCATTATGAGATCCAACATATATACATGATATAAATTGTAGTAAGCGGATCGCAATAATTGTCTGATTCGCGAACTGATTTCAAGCGACTAAGAGTTTGGCAGGCTGACTACGTATTACCCGAAGAGATTTAAACTGAGTTAACCGTTCAATCGGAAAATTGGAATGCCACACAGATAATTACCTGACAATCACAGAAAAGGAATCCGCCTGAAGTAGATTCAAATAAGCGTGTTGGAAGGGCCAAGTGAGGCGGACCAAGGCGGCCTTTATCAAGAAAAAAATAACTGATACCGTGCTATCTAAGGCAGCCATCAAGTGGGACCCGAAATCAGAATTGAATTTAGATTTCACTTGTCCATATGTTAGATTTTATTGGATTGTGTACTTACTTGTAACGAATGCAGTAGCTATTAAAAGTTACTCGTTTTATATTGACAGCGATATGATTACTAATTAAAATTGTGTGCTAGCAAAGAACCATAATTCAAAACCACCGTTAAATTTGACGTCATTTAATCTGCAATGCTTATAAACTTGGTTCCATTAATAACAATATGCGCGATCGTCAATAGTATGTAGTACTCGTTTATTAAATTTATTTTTTTCAATTTTACATTATTATTACAGAACAATTTTATCTATAGCCCAGAAATTTCGTACGGACTACATGTGGGCTCATGCATTTAAAACCTTCTATAGGTTACACGATTTATCAACGACCTGGCATCAAGCACGACAAATTTGCGAAGCCGAAGGTACATCACTATTAGTACCAGGTTCAATAGAAGAAATGGAAAACCTGAAACTTCTATTGAGTAATATGAAAGCGCATTATACTGCTATATTTATTGGGATACACGACCAATTTTCAGAGGGGGACTTTGTAACCACCAAAGGTAAAAAAAATATATTTTAGAAAGGCCAGTCTTACTAAAATAAAACTGTGCACGCAAGAACTTTAAAATATTGCTTAATCTGAATTTAAACAAAGGCTTAGAAATTGAACAAACAGTATTTATCCAATAAACATTTATCTTAGACTAAACGAGCTATCAAGATCTTAACTTTGCCCGTCTATAACACAGCATGACAAACATATATCATCATTCAAATATTCGATATCATATTAAAATCTTTAGATTTTTTTAAAAATTTTACATTATTTCCAGGAGAACCAATAACTGACACAATTTTGGATTTACTTTGGGCAGATGGTCGGCCTGATCAAAGTAATGGTACTGACAAATGTTTAGTAATGACAAGAGAAGGTTTGTTCGATAATCGACCATGTAATGACATGTACCCCTTTGTTTGTAAAATATTGGGCAACCAAAGCCGATATAATGAAAAATGTGACGGATACGACGTCGGTAAGACACTTTTTTGTAACTACTTTTCTGTTGTTAACATGTTGTTTAATAATAAAAGAAACCTTTTCAATGAAAAAAAGCAATTTCTTTAATATTACGTTTCGCACAGATAACTTAAACGAAATGGAAAGATAGGAATATAATGCGGATATTATATATATATATATATATATACAATTTCGAATATCGTTTTACAACGATAATTCGAACGAGAGATGTCGCCATTGCTTTTTTAGAAATTTAAATTGTTTATAGTGCTAATCTTTGCACTTAAGATTGAACATTAAAATATGTAGAAAAATGTTTGTATGCTGGAAAGGATATAACAATAGATGGCGCCAAGCATTGCTTCAAATGCTAAGAAAACAATGTGGAAGAATGCGTTAAGATTTTCGTCGGTGTGGCAATCAGCCGTTTGCTCAGTGGCTAGAGCGTCAGGCCGCGAATGCCGAAGACGTGGGTTCGATTCCCACAACGGCGACAATCTTTTCGCACTTTTTCTACATATTTTAATGTTCAATCTTAAGTGCAAAGATTAGCACTATAAACAATTTAAATTTATATATATATATATATTATTAAACATTAATATGGAAAAATTAAATACGTATAAGCGAATCGCCAAACTATCTTCACACTATCTTCCATCTGCAGGAAATGTCTGTTTTACAGAGTTTTTAATATATGTAAATTATTAATTACATGCACACCCTTAAGGAAAATAATAACTTTATTGAGCCATAGACAATAGTTATACTCATCTCTTTCATAAAATGTAACTAACCAGGAAAATTTATTTTTCGCTCAGGCTACGTACCACACGAAAACGGAAAATGTTATAAATTTCACTCTGAACCATTGTCATGGCATGACGCGTACCTTGTGTGTATGTTAGAAGAAGGTCGTCTCTGCATTATCAACTCAGCAGAAGAGGCCAGTTTAGTTGTTAACATACTTGGGGAGCATCTAAACAACATAGCTCCAGATTCAACCATTTTGCATATTGGATTTAGCGATTTAATGTTCCCTTTTCAATACAGAACCATAGCAGGTAAGCTTTTACATCGTTTGGTATCCCTTTTGCCATAATTTCTCACATTAATAAAGCAATTTGATAACATAAGTTTATAAACTTTTCAAATTTCAAAAATTCTTTTTAAAGGAGAAACTTTAGAACAAGCTGGATACTCATTATGGAGCCCCTTACAAGAAGGTAAGAAAAGGCCTAGGAACTATCGTTGTGGGTCTCTTTCCAGAACAGGTTTTCTGCAAATCACGTCTTGCTCTCTTCCCGCGATGTTTTTGTGCGAAAAAATAATAAATAAAGATTCTAAGGCTAACTGATAAAACGTATGGTCGCTTGTTATTTTTTGATCTTTAGGTAATGTGAATAAGTTAAAAAACAGTTGCTATAATTTATTTAATACTCAAAAGGTAACTTTAGCTTTAGCTTCAATTTAATTGTTTAGATTTAACTTATACAAATTACAAAACAAAGTTATAATTTTGAATAAATGTATAACTTAAATTAAAATTTATAGAAAATGTACGAAAAGATTGTCGCCGCTGTGGGAATCGAACCCACGTCTTCGGCATTCGCGGCGTTATAACTAACTAATTCCTAACCTCTTTTATCTACATTGTTTTTTAACATTTAAAGCAATACTTAGCGCATCCATTGTTATATCATTTCCAGCATTCCATTTGTATAATGTAGATGTTATTCCATTTGTTATTCCACTATAAAAAATGTTAATTCTTAAATGTAGAACTTGATTCAGTTAATTGCTTACTGCGTCTACCGCACTATTACACATACAAAATTTCGATTTGCAAAAGACAGACATGCGACAACGTGCGATAATATGCATACAATGTCTATTTGAATTCAGCAGTGCATGCGATTCGTTGAGTTGGGACTTTGCCGATTACAACCACCAATTGGACGAAGTTAATAAGCGTGAAGCATTCACCGCTTTTGATTTTGTCCGTATTGTTGTTAAGCGATGGTTTGAAGCATCGAAAATGAAACACGAACTAGCGAATATAACGATATCAGAAACTCTTCAATTTCGAATAATCTTACACGAAATACAAACAGTCAATATTTATTCCGATTCTAAATTTCCATTCCAATTACTCCCTATTATCACACACTCAGAATATGTCTACTTCACAGAATCATCCCAAATTTAAATAATAGACCTTGCCGGGAAGTTTACACATGGTCATGAACAATTAAGGTAGTTAGGTACTTACTGCGCGATCCATGATTAGCAGGATGTTCGCTATCCTCGCTTGCGGCGACGTGGGGAAATTGTATTAAACAAATGGAAATGTTCGCCGTCATTTCCACATGAATTCGTCGGCCATCAAATTATTAGAAGCAAATTTAGGTAAACTACATACGAGCAGTTATGTTAAACAACCATAACTGTAGTAATATAGGTTAAAAATAAATTGAAACCCTGAAAATTATGTGTACACATAGAAGGCAAACGGAGATATCAGATATCTTTGGTGTTTTATGAGGGCTTGCAAATACGTTGACAACATAAAAAATGAGCCCTGACTACCTCAAGTTAATGTCTTTTAAGATTCATAATACCAAAAATAAAAAGAAACACTTTACTTTTTTAAAGAATTAAATAAGAAATAGAAACTTGCAATTAAAATTAAAAAAGAACTACAAGTACTTTACATATCCTTTCTGTTTTGTACTGTGTCTTGTTTCATGGTTGTACTCCACCATATCTAAAGGAGAAATTTGAGTTTGTAGGGCTTCCAGGGGAAGATCTACGTTCTTCGAGGAAGCTCATTTTAAAGGTGCCAAATTACAAAACGTCGTTTTATGAAAAATCTTTTACCATACAGGCTATTAAGCTCTGGAATTCCTTGCCTTTAGTTTATGTGAGGCGCAATCTATTGGCACTTTTAAGAATTTAGTAAGAGAGCACTACCTGTCACAATCACCTGAGTAATATTAGGATTAAATACTATTCATGTTTGAGGTCTAGTATATATATGTGTGTATATATATATATGTATAGTATATGTATGTATATTTGTGTATATATTGATATGTTTGTATAAATGTATATATCTGCTTTAATAATATATTATGTATATTTCTATTGCACCACCTACGTAGTATACGTTTCCTTTAAGCCATTGGTTGCCTGGAAGAGATCGCTATGAAGCGATAAGGCAGCCAAATTGTACATTGCATAAATTTGTTGTTCTATTGTTACTTTTATGTATATTCTTATTTGTGGTGGACAATAAAAGTGTATTCATTCATTCATTCATTCTTTCATTCATTCACACAAGTAGAAACTTTTAATTTCTTTTATCGCTGCTCTTCTCTTCTTTTTAACAATAAAAATTATTATCTATTATGTTATATTGACATTTTCTCAGTATATTACGTTTTACTTTACTACCCTTGAAGAGAGGTTGTGCTATAGTTTGAGCTGCTTAAATCTTAGCAAGCAGTCATCTACTCACTATTTTGTAACAATATGTTACACCAACACCGAAAATAAAGTTTAAAAAACCGTGTGCCGTTCAAGATGAAAATATAATTAATAAAGCCAACAATACACACACATACCAGTATCTTTGACGCACCAATAACAATAATGTCGAGCTGAGGCGATATTCGACTGAAATAAACAGCTTACGTGGGGCTTAACGCCGCTTTTGAGTTAAATTTTATTTGATTGCAAGCCCCGAATCGCGCCAGAGGCCTGATTGATGTATTGCTGTCGCACAGGCCTACCCTGACAAAGATTACATTCATAATTGATGCACGCAATGCAATTAAGCGCATAATTGTAATTTTTTATTAAAACAACGAATAATTACAAATTTAAATAACCTTTGCCTAATATTTAGCACGCCAGTAATTGATTTTTATATAAATAAATAATAATAATAGCCAATATTAATAAGCAATAGTCTTTTTAGTGTCTAATCTCTTTTCATTGGATGTTGTTGTTTTTATTTTTTTATTTAATACACTGATATAAAGATCCCGATACATAATAATAAAAATAAACTAATACAGTTTCATTTCCAATGTCGAGGAGCGCAACATCTGCTCGATATTATCTGTGAATGCCAACTGCAAAATACATAAATTGTCCAAAATATTTAAGCCAAAACACACCCCTAATATTTAATTTGATGTAATCATAAATTTTTAAAAAGACAAAAATTATTTAGGAAAATATTATACATTGTATAATTTGATCAAAAATCAAACCTTTAAGAGCATAATTTTGAAATGTTTTAATAGACAGTGCAAAGTTTTTATTTTAAACTTTCTTGAAGCTACTAAATATTCAATGAACAAACTTTGTTGCATTTCGCCACCAATAATGTTTGACAACTCATAGCTTAGTAGACAATAACAAATAATAAACTTAACGACGTAGAGAATTTAAAATAGAAAACATTTATCGTAACGTATCTGATATTATTCATAGCGTAGGTCGCGATTGTGATAAACCAATAGCGCCCCTTTCATACGACATTAACTACATTAGTGACGCCACATTTCGTAACAATCTGCGACGTAGCTCATTCGTGTGTGAATCCTAAGATACAGGGGCTCATTTCCTCGCACGTCCCGGGTTAAACACGGCAAATATAGAACTGTCTGTTTGTCTTTATCTGTTCTCAATTATCATCGTAAATGCATTGCCAGCAGTTCCGCACCTATTTAAATTAATGGCGCTTTACAAATTCAACTTACGTAATACATTCGGCACGATATGTTTGTCGTTATTACCAAATAATATTTATTGTACATTGGGCGTGAATCATTTTAATTATGTAATTGGTATAGATGACCGTTAACAACAGCTCCGATTAACTGATTACTCGTCATCGGTGTTTTGGATTAATTAATTCTAAATGCAGGTTGTCCCAAATACATTTTTATTTAACAATTAAAATTTTTATGTAACACAAACGTCTATATTTTTAATTTGTTTTTGAATGTATACAAGCGTATTTCACATTTACATACCCAAAATAAGAACACATTCCTTGCCTTCTATCAATGGCGTTGGTTTATGGTGCGTGCCATCCTTTCTTTTGTTGCTTATAATTGTACACATGTTTGTGAAAGGTTAACCAATCAATTTTCTATGTCATGGTTACCATAATTGGTTAACAATCCGTATTTATGATAATAATTACTACCTGAAAATATGTCATAAACTTTATCATTGATTTATTATCAATTGAACACTAGCTTTAATTATTAAATGAATAAAACCAGTCGGCTTTAATTGCACTAACTATTTCTCTCATTGTTACTCTCAACTGAGACAAGTTAGAAGAAACGACATACAAGGCAAGAATTAGACATACCGACAAAAGTACGCTCGAAAAACATAACCCTCCTTCGGCAGTCGGATAAAGTTCACTGAAACATTGATAACAAATCGATACACTATAAAATCTCAATATTCCGTATGCTGAGAATGACATTCCTAATTTTATATACGAGTACACCCCGGCCGAAATTTCTTGGAAACTCTATGGAAGGCAATAAAATTTCATCGCTTTATTCAGGCAGAGTGACAATAAAAATGCATCTCGATTCTGATCACACTCGTTTCAATATTCAGAAGCGGGCCAACACCTGAGACATCGCGCCTCTCTTGAAATATGCTTATTATATTGCTTGCCTTTAAATGAAAACAAATTGTGTATAACAACATGTTCAAACGAAATGTGCGTAACAATTCAGTTAGCCAAAAAACTTTGAATATTTTCTGAATTTATACATTTACTTTGAAAATAATACACGTTAATAAATAATTCTATAAATATTTCTACAGTCAATTTTACTGTCTTGAATATTCTTCAAATCATATCACTACATAGTATTAAAACAAAGTCGTCCCGATGTCTGTCTGTCCCTATGTATGCTTAAATCTTTAAAATCAAGCAACGGATATTGATGCGGTTTTTTTTAGTAGATAAAGTGATTCAAGAGGAAGTTTTATATGTATAATACATTGGACCCGTGCGAAGCCAAAGTGGGTCGCTAATTATTTATATTTAAAAGATCTGCAGCAAAATAACGGCCATCAAAATATACAACACAAAAATTCTGAGGACCCAAAAAGCGTTGTGTACAGATAACTCGCGATACATAGTTGCTTTACCGCTGAAAAAAAAACTGTAAAACATCAAACGCTAGGTGAGTGAGGAGATCAATACTCGAAGCATGCACTTAAAGTAATGGTTTCGAAACAGGAGTGGTTGTTTTTATTCCGGCGGTGGCTGTGTTAATAATTCACGTGATCAAATGTCCGGGACAACTTTTCCGCGCTAACTGAACCGGAAACTAATAATAATTTTATTCCTTAACCGTGCAACAGTCAATTTCAGTTGATCCTAACCCGTAATTGCTGATATTTAAACTTTGTAAGCATTTCAGTCGCAATTTTGAAATAGATCCAACTGAATTCATTGCAGCGTGATGAGCCCTGAGAAAGTTTGTTGGCTAAAAATAAACAGTTGTCGGGATCTGTTGATCTTTCAGATTCATTAAATATTTATTTTTTGCCATCATGATTTATAGGCACCATTATATGCCAATTTTCTGTTTAATTTTTGTCTTAATAGACAAGAACAATATCATTTCAGCCCGATCCATGCGTCGGGATGTAATTATCACCACTATGCATATAATCTCAAAAAATGTCCGTTACTGATATGGCATGTAGTTTTTAATCTGCTCCTATATTATACATTCCGCACACGCCTGTTCCTTGTAGGGCTCCGGTTTGCGTTCCACTCGTCTCGTCCCGCGTAAGCTGAAAGCAAAGCGAAACTTTCCACGCAAAACTAAGTTTTGGATTTTTATTGCTTCCCACGAACGTGAGACGCAATAATATTAAAATTTTCTATTAAACTGAGTTTACGCTTTCATTCATATTTATGGGCAGGAAGTAAACAATAAATTTTATATTTTCTGATATTGAAATAAACTTCGCTGTAATATTGAATAGAGTCGAATTTATTTCGACAATAGTAATATGACAAACTTAACAATAGTAATATGACTTACTTTAAATTATTATAAACTATAATTAAACTAAGGACATTTAATAATAATATATCACACGTTTGCTATAAATAATTTAATAAAGAATATGCGATAACAGCAGTTTAATTATATTGATATTAATTTCCCTATGTTTTAGTTGGAATTACCATACTACTGAATCCTGATTGATTCCTATGTGCTTAATGTAAGTTAACATATAAGATACCAGAAGTCGACTGTATAATTTAAATAAATTTATAAATAACCAGAAAAATGAGCCGAAGCGAGGCGTGTCGGAACATTATTCATCTCTGACGCAATCAGTCTGCCGAAGACGTGCGTCTCTGTACTTTCGCTAAAAATGCAAATTCCAATCGAAGTGACACCACGCCCTCCGACCGAGCGGGAGTTGCGCCAAGAGCTGACAAGCCTCGCAGGGGCAAAAGATGGGAGGAGAGGCCTTCCACAATTTTTCACCGAGCAAAATGAGGAAGACACACCCCAGGGACTCGGCTGCATGAACAACAGTTTTTCATCGCCCTGATTATACAGAAGACGTGATTCCCAGCTAATCCCTCGCATAAATAAGCCACTGGTAAAATAAAAGTATTATTAACTTCCTTCAATCCATCGAAACACATTACCGTCGTAATTTACGAATGTTGATCAGATTTTACCGAAAGCTTTCGGCCGCCTCAATTATTCACGCTTTCGCAGACTCGATTATATTTTGCTTTGGCAAAGTAACTCTGCTGTCTCTTATATGAATATGCTACCAATTAGTACAAAAACTTACTGATAATTTCAAACTGCTACCCAACATATAACTGTTTTACTATTATATTTGTATGATAACGCACCAGCGCTTACTTAAGGAAATGTGATAATTTTGTGAGCAATAAACGCATTACGCGTGCACAACGGACACCGCCGTAAATCAGGAGTGCAAACAGTGTATTAATTACAAATGCAAACAGCGAGTGTGGTCCACCGCAACCGTCTCTATCCAGCTAATGATTTGCAGTCCAGCTGTACAGACCCGCTACAGACAGCCACAAGGATTGTAAAACGTAGTTTGAAATTCATTAATGCTCTATACAGAACATTTGGACAGTGGTTAAAAGAGTATTAAAAAGGTGCAGTGTTCGTTAGGTTCTTTTTTTTAAACGCCATCCCCAAAGAATTACCTCTTTCTCGTTCATAAAATCAGAGACACAAATTATATCCGAAGAAATTATGTCCGAAGTTCAGTTATTGAAATAACTATAAAAATTTAAGGAAATTGAATAAATAATATGAACACTGAACGTAAAGCGTAATTAACTACCCACTCATTCACGCTTTGAAGCCTCTCATAATCACATACTCAGTATAACGAATTAAGTGAAACATTCGATTCCCCACTTTTCATTATATTAATTGTTTATGAATTTCTAGAGCATGAGAGGTGTAGGTATAAATAAATAAATGATTTCATATCTCTGGTTTCGAGTAATCGCTCAAGCGCTTTGTCTCTCTTTATACTTCATTCACTCTCCGAGCACATTTCATATTTAATGAATGTTCGGCATAATGGATGTTCTAAAATATCCATCGAAATAATTCGTAAAATTGCAATATCACTTTGCGGCGACATTTCATACTGTTTATAGTTTTAATTTCAACGCCATTACTCGGCTGTACAAAGTTACGGTTTAGTGCAAATACTGAAATGAAAAAAGAGTGAATACCAGCACCGTCGTCAAAACAATAACGCACGATTGTAGCTGCCGTTACAATGGTAGACGCGGAGGCATGCGGGCGCCGGCTTCGTAGGGGTAAAGCGAAATCGGTCCTTTCAAAACATTTTACTGTGGAGCCTCAAATGTGAAAAGAAACCACCTTTCCGTAAATCGGCGTCTCCGTTCCAACGAGTTTTATTTCTAAAATGGTTCTTTTATAAGCGCACTATCACATAATACCTGGCGATATATGAAATCTTAGTTGAAGTATGTTTTGGAACTATAAATAAATACTCAGTTCTCTCGATTTTGAAAAAAAAACTAAGTTGAGACGGTTTTTATTCTGTAAATTTCACCACATAGAACCCCTAATAGTAAATTTTAAAGCGATATAATCGCTTTAAAAATTTACTATTAGGGGTTTTATCTAATCTTCATAGTTGCTGCAGAGTATTACAAACGAGAAACGAAGATTACATCGGTTTATCAGAAATAAAAATGCAAAATCAAAAAACATAGAATATTTTGAATAGTGTATCAATGCGACAACTTTACGTGATCCAAAAACTGAGAATGATTCTCGTACCGGCTACAGAGCCGACTCTCCACATTCGCGAATATTCGATTGAACCTTGCTTTAAGTGTGAGAAAGCTATTTTAGTTATATTAAGATGGGAACCCACTAAACTACAGACATGGAAAAAGTCTAAATAATTTAAAAAAAGCTATAAATTTCGTTCACTGCTTAGCCGTGACAGCTCATTGTTCGGACACTCGCTTTCAATTCAGTTCAATCCCGGTTTTTGCACCAATGGCATCAATTGCAATTTTAAGGACGGACTTGTTGCACTAAAACTACATTTTTTCTAAATGTAAATAAAAAAATTTTCGAAATTATGTGAAGTCTGCCAATCCACAGTGGGGTCGCGTGGTAGACCATGCACCAATACCCTCTGTACAGAGGAGGCCTTTGCCCAGCTGTGGGATATACAAAGGCTGTTGCTTTACTTTTTCTTACTTTTAAACTACAAATAAAGTTTTAGAACTGTAAAAATTACTTTTAAAAAAAGTTAAATATTATACCCTTAAATCTTATGTTGAAATATATAAATGAAAAACATAAAGTATTAAGAAAATACCGTAAATTAAGTAGCGTAGCATTTGACTGTAGTTGAATTATCTCATTTGTAGCACTACCTCATTAGAACAGATTGATTGAAGCGTTGTATTTGTGAACTGAAACAGTTATTCCGATAGCTATGAAACCTTTCTGTATAATTTTACTATTTTTTCATAAAACAAAGGACGTTTTAAATGGTTATGAAAGTTATTTGCATTCGGTGTGTAAATACATGCATTACAGATATATTAAAAGATTGTAAATAAAACAATTCGCTATATTATCATGTTTTAATTTCTGTTCACTTATAAAAACAATAGATAACAGAAGAGCGGTGATAGCTCAGTGTCCGGGCGCTCGCCTGTAATTCAATATACTCGTACTCGAGCAACCTGAGTTCGATCCCTGGTCCCGGCACTAATGGAATTGATACCCACTGTACAGAGGGGCCTTAGCCGAGCAGTGAGACAGGTATAAGCTGATACATTATTTTTTTTTTGATAACACTGAGAATGTTTGATTATTTTTAAAATAAAACAAAACTGATGTACGTCAAGTAATAAAAAAAGTAATAAAATAACAGTTGAAATTTCGCATATGATACTAACTGGTAAGTAAGATTTGTAAGATCTCTCGGTGTGCACCGTACTTAATTCAAAGCTAAGTTGGCCTCTGAAGTGACTCCCTGCTTGCGAGCTGCATTCGATCTATATTTATCTGCCTCATGCAACATCGTCTTTATCTTTTAATGTGATCGTATCTTCACCAGCAACAAAATATACTGAAACCGACTAGACGTTCTAATGCCCTGGTACGTTGTAAATCTTAGCACTCCATTTTTAGAATTGGTACAAACTTTGCAGCAGGTGTTTTCTTTAAAATTGTCAACCATGTCCAGAAACGTTTATTATAAATTTTGCCCCAGTTTTTATCCCAGAAATGAAATAACTATGTGAATAAAATTACCAAAGTCTGCATCTTTCCTGTCCCAAAAGTTTTTTATAGTGCTAATCTCTGCACTTAAGATTAAACATTAAAACTTGTAGACAAAGTACGAAAAGATTGTCGCCGCTGTGGGAATCGAACCCACGTCTTCGGCATTCGCGGCCTGACGCTTTAGCCACTAAGCTAAACGGCTGATTGCCACACCGACGAAAATCTTAACATCTTTTATCTACATTGTTATTTAGCATTTGAAGCAATGCTCCTTCTTTAAATCCAATTGATAAGTGATTGAGATGTCTCTTGAATAAAAATCTGACCATACCAAGTTACTCTCGAAACCCTCATCCACAATTTCAATTTCATTAATGTCCGTTAGATTTATTCTTTCGATATTTCAACGGATTTTCAGCCGGATTTTTAATTAAATTTAAAACGGTGCGCACTTATTCGCGACATGGCACACATTCGGACATTTCTCGCAGATTGATTGCATTTTACAGGCGTCATTGCATAGAAAATATCGCGAATTTGTAATTGGATAGGCCACGCGTCGCTCGCACTCGACGCGCGGCGACGCCTGCCGATGACGGCCGCTGACAAATAATATGAGTGACGATGAATACTTGTACCTATCGGCTTAAATGCAATTCCATTTCAAGTTGGCCCGCTTACCAACTATGGAATTCTGTAGAATTTTGTTGCGGCACGTGGATTTATAAATTACTATTCAATTTTAAAGGCACAATATAGAGATTTTCAATACATTTGCGGTTAAATTTTTCAGTCTCAGTTATAATGCGTACAAAACTAAATATTATAAGAACTTCTTTACAGTTAAGGCCATCTGCTTGTGGAATGAACTTCCTCAGCAAATTCGTCGTTCGAAGACGCTAGACAAGTTTAAAATTGACGTAAAACAACATTATCTATCGTTTTGTAATCCATAGTTTTTAATGGCAATATTCAGATTTAATTCTTCTCTCGTGTATTTATTTATATATATTATATATTTATTTATGTTTATGTATGTTTATTATAATTTTGTTTATTTTATTATATTTAAGTCTATTTTGGTATTAAATAAGTTTATTGAGCACACCACCTCCCACTATTCATTAGTTTATTTTTCCTCGTCCTAAGGTTGTCTGGAAGAGATCGCTTTTTAGCGGTAAGACCGCCTTATTGTACCTAGCTTCTAAGACTTATTTCATACTAATTGTATCAAATTCTTTGTGGTGTACAATAAAGTATATAATAATAATAATATCTTTGGTTCACTGTTAATAGCTTTTAATTTAATTCAATGAAACTGACTAGTGAATTTTTAATACTTTACTGTATCAAAGGCCTCGATGTCTTGAAATTCGGAGTATGAATCTATATTATAATGGATATTTGCAGTGGCAGTATTTTAGAACATGTCACCTCTATATTTCTTAACATTTGCGCTGGTTTATTTATGACCGATCCCATACAATTCGAGTCGGATCGCGACGGCTCTTATGAATCCTGCCATTCGAAGTAAGTACCTATTTACCCGTTGTGGACATAACGACTCCCCAACTAGTAATAAACAGTATGAGACTAGACTTTAAATGAGAATGTGATTATTTTCTCAGAAAAAGTTTGCTTTTATTCGTTGTCCATAACATTTGAGCAAAATTCTAACATTTTTCTTGGTTTGTGCGAAATTCTATCAAGACTATTTGGTTCAACTAAACAACCTATACTAATTGATTGATTCCAAATGGTTTC